TAATATTTATTTGTTTACTTTATTAAACATTTCTTTCAATGTAAGTTGTTTCGTTTTATGTGATAATACTTTCTCTTTAATTCTATAAAGACATAATTTCTTGTTCAGTTAAAAAGCTCTGCTGTTCAAGTCCCGTAATTGCGTAATTGCTGTGCCGAGAATACCGACTAACTTGTCAATCGAAATTTTTTCGTTTTCACTAACCTCTCTGTCACCTTCTTTTGAAATAGATAATTGTATAATTTTAGCTTATACCGTCCGTTATACGTTAAACGCGCACGCGAAAACGTATTCTGCATATGCGCATGCGCGTAAACGCCTATGCGCATGTGTCAACGCGGCGCATGCGCAGAAAGTTTTTAGCTTTGAGGTCCGGATTATAGATCATTCCGGACTAGCGTTAGATGTTGAAAGAGCGTTTTCGACAGCTAGTAATTTTTGCACAAAACTACGTTCCAGGCTTAATGACAGTACAGTTGATCCATTATGTTTTTTAAGATCACATTTCAAAAAATTTATAATAATACCACAGACTGAATAGTGATATTTACACCTTTTCTTTATTTTAAATATGTTCCTTCTTTCTTTACTTTTTGTGATTCTTTATATACTGTTGTAATTTATAAGTTACAAATGATTTTTTTGTGATATTTACTCTCTCTAATAAAACTGGCAAATAAAATAGAAAGACATCTATGTTTTCTTTCTTTTTCTAAAATTCCTACTACCGGTATTAAAACCGGTATTAATATAAAAAAAAATTACCGAATACCGGCATTGAAACGTTTGGACCGAAATTGCAATCCCTACCGCCACCTAATCAGAGCTGCTCAAGTCCGGAACCAGTGCAGCAAGCGACTGCTCGTTTAGACGATTTAACCGGACAAGTCAATGCCTTGAGACGGAATAGGAGTGACAAGAAAACAACCCTAAAGTGTTGGACCTGCGTTGTTGAAGGCCACATACGAAAAAACTGCAGAACACCACAGAGCACGAAAAATAAGACCTCTCCCACCAAGAAGCAGGAAAACTAATTAGTGGCCATCTCGTGGGGCGGAGATCACCAGATAACGAGAAGCGTTATTTTAAAGCGCTTCAGATTTCTGGAATGAGTGGTGGCAGTAATGGACTCTTCATCACGGGACATTTCAGTGGAGTTGCCTGCAATGATGATTAATACAGGAGCCAAAGTTACCATCATCCGAAAAGATTTCACTACACTACTGGAAGGTAAACTTATTTGGACACAGCCCTGCATTACCCTTCAGACTGTATCCGCCGAGAAGATCGACATCGAGGGAAAGTTAAACGTTAGCCTCACGTTTGGAAATGCCGCCTATTATCACACGGCATATATGGCAGAGATTACAGATTCTTACGTGCTCGGATTAGACTTTTCTCAGGAAATGCAATTTTTCCTTAGACCTTTAAAAATAAGGAACTGCATTCTGCCGCTGAGGACAAAGCCTAATTCGGAATTAAGGATGAAGGAGTTAAATCTGTCCACCAAATCATAGCTCAAGACAATATCACAATCTATGGATCCAGGAAGAACCGAATTTTTACTTGGCTCCATAGATGAAAATAGAAATTTCCGCTACGGCGTCATGGAATACCCCAAGAAATCTAACAGGCCGACGGGAGTAATAGCAGCCTGAGCACTCGTCGACCTATCGAGAACCGTTATCCCGGTGAGGGTTGCCAGTGTAACTGACAACGCGAGAGTTATTAAGAAAGGTGAAGTGCTTGCAGCATGTACTCCAGTGACCAGCGTTAAACGTAACAGTAACACTTCAGAATCCGTGTTCTTCAGAAAACATTACATTGGAGTAACTGAAGAATGCACAATTAAACGATGAAGAAGGAAATGCTGCTCAACGTGTCATTCAAGAATTTGAAGGTGTTTTCTCCCGCTGTTCTGATGTGGGTTGAACATGTTTGACACAGCATAGAATCGATACCGAGCTTCATCCACCTGTTAAGCAATATCCAAGACGTCTACCGATTGCTAAACAGGAAGAAGTACGAAAACTTCTAAAGGACATGCAAGAAAGCGATGTCATCGAACCTTCAGCAAGTCCATGGCCATCTCCCATCGTCCTGGTCAGAAAGAAAGACGGTTCAACTATATTTGGCAATGCCTATCACCGGTTGAACGAGGTTACGAAGAAAGACAGCTACCTTCTAACTGACCACATTCTGAACACTTCTTCTGGAAGAAAGTGGTTTTCGACACTTGATTTAAAAAGTGGATATTGGCAGGTAGAAAAACATTCTGATGACCGTGAAAAACTTTCTTTTACTACCGGATAATGACTTTGGTAGTTCAAGGTGATGCCGTTTGGATTATGAAATGCACCGGCAACATTCGAACGCGTCATGGAGACTGTTTTGAAAGGTCTTTCCTACGAAGCCTGTCTCATATACCTGTATGACATCATCATTGTCGGGAAGAGTTTTGAAGATCATCTAGAAAATCTTAGAAATGTGCTTCAGAAACTGAAAGAAGCCAATCTAAAGTTGAGTCCTGTAGATGTAAATTATCAGACAAGAAATGACGTAGTTCAGACATGTCATCTCTGCCGAAGGTGTGGGTATAGATCTGGAAAAAGTGTCAGCTGTTAAAGACTGGTCCGAAAATGTTCATCACCTAAGAAGTTTCCTGGGGCTTTGCACCTACTATAAGAGATTCGTGAAGAACTTTTTTTCCATCGCAAGACCCCTTCACAAGCTGACAGAGAGCAAGCAAAATTTCTTGAGGACAAAAAGAATGTGAGGATGAATTAAAAAACCTGAATGAAAATTTAACTTCTGCTCCCAATCCTAATGTATCGTAAGCTCGACAGACCATTTATTCTTGACACTGATGCGAGCTTCCATGTCTCAGTTGCAAGCTGTTTGAGCTTTGATTTTAATGCCGATTGTGGCCAGGGAATGTTTATACCGTCATCAAGTTGATCGAATGCTGCTTCTTTCGCAAGAAAGTCCGCCCTCTCATTACCTTCGCAATTGTTATGGCCTTTTGTTGATTACTGTTTTGAGTAATATTTCCATTATTTTTCTGTTGAGGCCTTTTTTTTTAACCTGCATGTTATAGTTGTAGGATTATCAACAATTTAAATGTTGTTTAAGTGCGATTAAGCCTAATTTTTACCATAACAGCCATATGTATTTACATTTGAAACTTAGCAGAATAGTGGATTTGTTGCCAACCTATAGAAACTAAGCTTCGCAACAACAAAGTTACGTCTTCTTTTATTACTGGGAATTAAATGATGCTTAATCCATTCTGGAATTATCATTTAAGTTATTAAATTATCCCATATAGTGACTCAGCATAGCGTTTTCAACAAATTAAGTCAGTTTCTACGCCTTCAGTGTCAAAAAGGTGTCAGGTATTAAGCTGTAGGTTCAGGTTGCCGAGTGAGACCAAAAGGAAACTTTTAGTTTTGTGCACCGAAAAATATGCCGTCTTTGCCCGCTGTTCGAATTACTTGTTTTTGCGTAGAAACTGTAATTTTAATTGTAAAAATTGTTTCTTTAATTGTTTTAACTGTATTTGGTATTTTATGTTTTTCTATATCTTTCAATTTTAATAGAGATATTTTCAGTTTTTGTGTATTTTTGCCTTGTCGCGAAGTGAGAACTGAATTAATTGAATGAGAAATATATCTCTAATGAAATTCGAGGAAATAAGTTTAAATGAAATGCAGGAAAAAATGCGGATAATTTAATATTCCGTACAAGGACATTATATGGTGCACACATCAGATTTTTTACTACTGCTTTTATGGCTTTTTTAACTTTAATTTTAAGGTCGCAATTTGCTTTAACATGTTTAAGATTCCTATACAAACGGCTAACTTATTTTGACACCTTTAATTTCTTAACTACGGCTTTTTCGTTAGACAGGATAAACAGGAGTAATTTTTGCCGAATTTACTCAATATTATATATATATGTAAGATATAATAAAATACGATGGCTGCTTTAAAAAATAATTGGGTGGAGAGCAACCACATCATCATCAAACATATCATATACATCTGTTCTCCCAAATTCGAGATCATCCAAATTACATAACACTGCTTGATAAAGGTAACTAAAACTAATATTGATCATTCATAGCTTAGAATACACTCTGCACCTACGAAGTATAAATAGTGAGTCACGAGCACTAAGCTTCCCTTTTTTCCTGACTTCCCAGCCATGGAAACAACTTCGCGCCACTTATGCTTCCCTGCCCGAAATGACGTCGTAGCTTTTTATCTGTTTAGATAAAAATTATTTGTGTTCAACTATGATCAAAAAGTAATTTGTCTGCCAAAGAAATCATTTTCAATTTGCCTAAAAATAAAGATAGTGATTCGTCAACGTCTTATTCTTGCCTTATCCACCCAGCCATGTCTACAGCCAGAAGTTAAAAGTACCGGATTCATGACTGCGCAGTTACATATTAGTATATATAGATATTAATATTATAATATCTCGAAATTGTTAATTTTTTAGTCATCCATTTCTTTTTAAACCCAAATCATACATTTGTATTCACTGCATATATTGTTGTGTTAGAATTTGTATGTTGTTATATTGTATTCATGTAATTTTTATTTAAATGATAATTTTTATAAAACTGTGCATCGTATTTCTAATTAACAGAAGATGTTTCTAACGCATTGGTAAATATTATTTTTTAATATGCAGCTTGTTTTCTAGCCATCTGAAAGTTATAAATTAGATGAGACAGATCTCATATATTAAAGGTTAGGAAATGCATAAATTTGATGAGGAATATCTCATACATTGAAGGTTTGGAAATACATCCTTGATCAAAACATTAAATACATGGAATTCAATACACTCTTTCAAATACATTTCCTGATTTTGTTCTATTCACTACTGAGCTTTATTTGCTTCGTTAAAAGCTTTTATTATCTTTTGGTTACGTATTTATTAATGTTTAATTAGGAAAACTTAAGTTACAACACCAAAACATAACATTCTTATATAAATTATTTTATTTAATAAAAGTTACCATTTTACAAAAACTGTACATCTTCCACACGGCAAGCTTACAAAAAAGAATGATAATGAGACAAGTCCAATAATACAAGATGATGTTATTGCTGAACTTACACACAATTCTTATGTAGCGATGAAAACAAATTTTTTTCTCACATTGATGAACACGAAGAAGAAGAAATCAATCATCCTGCTTTAAAATAGAGAGCTCTTACTGAATAAGTAAAATTTCAAGCTTATAGCAGAGACTTTTGCGGCAAACTTAGAGAATATTTTCACATATGTTTCTTTGGCACTTGTTATATCCCTCTAAAAATATTCACTCTTCATAAGCATTTCCCAACCAGAAAACTGAAAAATCAGTATTAAGTACTGATTCTCTAAAATATCACAGATTTAAGACTTGGAAAATATTTCTTTTCAGTGGGCCATAAAAATGAAATATCAAACATAATATGTGTCTGATAACCCTATTTTTAAATGAATTTAATTTCCTTATCTGTTAACCGCTTTTGTTGAAAGTGGTGTTATTATATGCCTCGTTAATTGAGGTCTTGTCTGTAAAACTTTTAAAGCGTCGCATACGTTGTAGCATTCTCGATACGTTTTCCTTAAGACTGCTATCATATATTCATTTGTTTTGGACGAACAGCCGTTTCAAACAATATTTCAATCTGATATACCATTGAAAGAAAGACGCACGAGTTATTTCTTCCTTCCGCAAAAAGAGAACCAGTTTTCCTTTTACATGCTGACTTCAAATTTATGTATTGTGATAAGCTGTTTTTATATCATATGAAAAAGCAGAGAAATTGCACTAAATAGTTTTTCTTCTAAAATGTTTTGAATGTATGATACACCTAAAGCCAAACTACCAAAAGCTCGGTGGTCCGCATATTTGTATTTAAAATAGGAGTTAGTACAGAAGTGAGATTTTTATCCATACGTAAACCCTTTGGTTCCCAAAAGATTAAGGCTTTCGTTTTGAGATTTTGGGTAAATATCAGAAGTAGTTAACATAGAACTAATCGTACCAAGCTGTGTGAGCTTGTAACAAATTAAAAAAGATTCGATTCAGCTTTAAAAGTAAATTTTAGAAAGTAGCATTAAGTTGTAATGTTTACTTTGAGTTCTCTGAAAATAAAATACACATTAACTATAATTTCTACAATTCCCTTGAAAAGCAAATGTTAAGAATCAAGGAGCTCTTATATTGGTCCTTTCTGAGAATAAAAGCAAATTCTAAAAAATATCATAATTATATTGACTAGTAACTATTTAATGGATCAAACTACAGTTTATGCAGAACGTTTTAATCTTAAATTTTCCCAACGTCATCCACGATTTGCGGGCAGCATAATGGTGGATGGTCTGGTGACGTGAACAATTGAACCAATTTTTTTCCACTCATAGCATATTTACTCTTTTCTATATTTTCTTTGCCGTATTACAGAAAAATTCTAAGAGAATGCAGTACATAATAACTTTAGTTTCAACGAAACCGTTTACCATATACACAAGTTATAATCATTTAAAATAAGCAGTAACTTATCAGACACTCAGTATTAATGATATGGGAATATATTGCTTAAATTTATTCATTAAATATGTAATTTGACGTATGTCATAAAAATATATTTCCAATCTGCAATGTTGTTATTTATAAAAATCTATACCATTGACTAGTTGGGAAATACCAGACAATTAATGATATGCAGAGTAAATTTAAAAAGAACGTTTATCCTTTAGGAGAATAACAAATCAAATTTCTCAAAACAACCATGTAGAATATTAGAAGGTATTTATAAAAGAGCACTTAAACTCATCAGTTTTGATTGTTTGGAGCTGTGACAAATACTAAAATTTTTAAAGATTTTGAAGCACAAGGAAATATTTTTTTCCTAAATATTAAACCGGGAATTCAATTTGGAGTCTTGGAGAAATCTCTTTGACCTTTCTCCATAAAAGGCAGTGTTAAATATTTCTTTTCTACTAAAGTATCACTTAGTGATTATTAGGTGTACTGTCAAGTGGAACGGTTCTCGTTCTATGGCGTTAGTTACTTGAGCCTTGTTTTCCACAATCCCTAAAATTTTCAGAATATAGAGACCTGGTTGTTTTATTTTTTCCCTTGCATGTAGACCAGCCACGCCTCTTCTGAAAAAGAAATGGGTATTTTAATGAGCCACACATAATATATATATATATATTAGAATAATAAAATAAAAATACAATTTCTGGATACATATTTTACTAAAGGATACACATAATTAAAATTAACATTGGAAAAGTCTTTATACAAGGAATTGTTGGCCAGAATAGTTTCAAATTTTGTGTGAATATTTCAAATAATGGAATTTTGTCTAAACAGAGAAAAAACGATAGTCCAAAATATTCTACCAAAGGATCAGGTGGAGCTTCATTTGAGGGCAGAGAAATTAATTATATTGAAATGCTACTAAAACAAACTGCTACTAGCTGAAATCGCGGAATAGCTTGTTGAAAAACAGACAGTTGAATGTTTTTTTTCGAAATACTATAGGTATGATGTACAATATCAAGCACATTTCAGATCCAACAAATTTGTAATGTGTCCTTTAAAATCTATGTTCTTTAGGTGTTTCTAAAATCAAAATGTCCAGGGAATCCACTGATTACATTGTCGAAACATAGTGGTAGATTATTCTTTAACCTAGGGAAGTGAGTCTAAAAGCAACTACTTTGTACTGTTAAGCTGTGCAAAAAAGTACCATTTCGCATAACAATTGTGTAAATCATGCAATTTTACGTGAGAACCATGAACCGTGTTAGATTTTGGAAAAAGGCTGACTATCACTGGGTATTGACGGAACACACAACGAGATCTGCAGGACAGAATGTTTTTTGGAAAAGAATAGTTCAATGTTGGATGTCACTGTAAACTCACTCCTACAGTGGTGAATATAAGATACTCGGTTACTAAATGTTTGTAATTCTGTGTATCAACAGCATCAGGGAAACAGACCTCGTCCTTCACGAAATTTTCCATTGCTGTTGTTGATTTCTATTTGAGAAAAAAATTGTATTATTCCAGTAGTTCTGAACCTTTTTTGTTCCATGCACCCCTTACACCATTGTTAGATGATCATTCCTCCCACCTCATTCCAAAACTTGAAAAAAATATGCGCATGTATTTAAATTTAGATTATTTTTAATGCGTTTTATAAATTACACGAGAAGAATTATAAAAATGTTGATAAATACAAAAACCTGAATAAAAGTAGCTTTTTATATTCATAAAATAAGTTCTTAACAGGTACATAAAAGGCTGACTGCATCCCCCCTGAAACTATGAAACTCCCCCTAGTTGAGAATCATTTTTTCTATTGCACTAAAATTTCTCGTGCATTATCAAGAACGCAGTTGCTGAACATAGATAGTTTAGTATGAATGACATTTCAGATGCTCGTTTTTCTTTTTAACTTAAAAGACCGTTTTTAAGGTTCCTTCTAAAGACCCAGTAACAGCAGGAATTTTAGAGAAAGGAAAGCATAACATCAATAAAAGAAACAAATGCAATGAAAAACTGGCACAGAGAAAATTGGTTAGTTTCGAAGATTTGAATTAAAGATTATGTTTTGATTAGTGCAGTAACCATATTAATTTGTCAGTAGCCCGAAGAAGGCACAGTTAAATACTACAAAACGTGTCCCATTCTATTTTTCTTTATATGCAACTTTTTCAATTTTTTTTTTTTTTTTTTTTTTTTTTTTTTTTCAAATTGGGGTTATTTTTCTTAGCCAGAATGATATTAGTTAAGTCCTGTTCACTTTCTAAATTGTTCCAAAGTAGTTCCCCAAATGGACGTTGTATCGCATTGTTTATTAATTAGCTTCGTTTTTCACTCTATTAGATAACCAAATTTTAAAATTTTACTTTTTCCATATGACGTACTATAGGTTATTAAGGGACAAAGATCAATGCTTTCAAAGAAATTAGTGTATTTAATTAAATAAAGATGCATCAAAAGTACAGAAAATGAATATGTACTAATATCTATATATATATATATATATATATATAGATAGATAAATAACCTTTATATATATATATATATATATATATATAGATAAATAACCATTATATATATATATATATGAGAGAGAGAGAGAGCCGTTTTATATCTTCGAGTTTAATGAATATTTGGCCCACCAGCGGCCGAGCGGTAAAGTCGCTGAACACTGGTAGTTCGGTCCGAGGTTCGAATCCCGCGAACGGGCTGGCTGCATGGGCGTTTTCGTGGTTTTCCCCATGTGTAACGTGTATACGAGCCAGTTTCCCTTAGAAAGTCCTCCACGAAGGCATCCCTCCCCTTAGGCAGATAGCCCTCGAGGCTTTGCCATTATCACACACACACACACACACACATTAATGAATATTTGCGATACCGGTAAGTTTTCTTTCTTTTTCAACATTGTTTTTCCTGCATTTAGTTTTTGAAATTGTTTCACTGTCTCATAGTTTCACATAGATTTTCACAAAAAGGTAATTCATTTCAAGTACTTGAGACCGACCTGTTTTGTAACTTTGTAATTCGGCCCTTGACAATTTTATTATTTTATCAGTTACGATATTCCTTGATTTGGAGGCTTTTGATTAATTAATCTTTGTCATTTTATAATTTGTTTTATAACTTAGTTTTTGAGATTTTTTCAATAGTTTTTACTAGTCTTTTACATGTGTGTTTACTAATGCTTGTTTTTTGTGTGTATTTAGTTTTCTTTCACTACGAATGCATGTAGGGGAAAGATCAGAACTCATTAGAGACTCAGTTGAAATATCATTTTAAATTTTATGATTGAAATTTAGCAAAAGCGGTTTTAAGTCTGAGATGGTTCAGAGTAAGAAAACGTGTATTCGGAACTCACTAATCAACTGAGTTTAATACTTCAAAACACTTTTGCCTTGACAAGTTCTGTTTGAAGCGTTAAACAAAGGAGATTAATTTATTCTTTCGTAGATTTGTATCAGAACTTGTAAATTTTAAAGAAATTTTCAAGTATCTTACAATGTAGTTTTTGAGATTTTGTTTGGATTTTTCATTTTTTTTTAACTATTTACCATCCAATAACTGTATTTCGGTGTATGATACTGTTTCACGTAGATGGCAATTAGGTTTCGTCTTTACATTTTTTGGCATTAAATTTGTATTTAATTTATATTCCGACTTTTTACTTAATTTTGAAATTGATTATATATGTAAGATAAAAAATGTGAAAGCAAACTTCTAAATTTAATCCACTATAACCTCTTTTATTTTTTATTTCATTTGGAAACTTCATCGCTCTGTCCTAAAAAAAGAAGTGTAAGTCTAAACTGTGTTATTCAAATTAATCATGCGATCTTACGTAACCCTTAATGCAGATGCCTCTTAACCAATCACCGAACTGCTAACCAAAAGTAAAAGCTGAAACTTTTGACTCCCTCCTTTCTTTCTATGAACTGATGCATCACTTTTGCTTGTGCTTTCCTCTTGGCCTTTCTGCAATTATATGTGTGCTGCTACATTCGCTTCTATGGCAATAATATCAAAATTGTAAATGTTCTTTAATAGGCACGAGTAGAGTGCCAAGTGAAATGTGGCCACAAAATGGGAATTTAAATAAATAAAAGGAATTTAAACCGGCTCGACTGCTTCTTCTTCAAAAATGGATGGACGCTCTAAGCATCAAGTATCTACGCAATTAGTATTTCTACGCATCTACGTCCCAGTGTTCTTATTTTAGTGCTTCCAAAACTTGTGCTATCATTACATATATATATGAGACTCACTCAATATAAGATCAATACAATTTTGTAGGCGAACTTTCAACAGATAAAATGATTTAAGCCATCCTTTTCTTAAAATCGATGAAAAATATGCTTCTATAGCCTCATCTGTCTCATCTTTGGAGTGGAAACAAAGGCCCACGTAAATTTGGTTTTGGATTAAAAAATAGCCAAAAGTCACACATAGCAAGATCAGGAGAATAGGGTTAGGGTGTTAAGCTGTTAAGAATCGCTGCGTGAAGCGGACAACACACAACAGCATCCGAACATCCACAGCCGGTAGAATAGGGTACCGAACAGCCGGTAGAATAGGGTGGATGTTTTATCAGTTTAATGCGCTTTTGCTAAAGAAATTCAGTTGCTGAGCTTAGTGCTTGCTCAGCAGAGATGAGAGAAAATGCATTATCATGGCGAAGCGTGAGTCTCCTTAATTTCAATTCTTAGAAGACACTTAGTGGTGAGCCAATTAGCTACAACTTTCTTCGGTACCTTTGAATTGCTGACTGTTATCAATTCTATATTTCTGAAGAAACCAGCATGCATTACTGTTTTCATTTTCTAATCGTTGTGTTTTCACCATCGGCTCACCAGCGGCCGAGCGGTAAAGTCGCTGAACACTGGTAGTTCGGCCCGAGGTTCGAATTCCGCGAACGGGCTGGCTGCATGGGCGTTTTCGTGTTTTCCCCATGTGTAATGTGTATACGAGCCAGTTTCCCTTAGAACGTCTTCCACGAAGGCATCCCTCCCCTTAGGCAGATAGCCCTCGAGGCTTTACCATAATCACACACACACACTTTTCACCATTGCTGGTCAGGAGACCATCTTCATACTTCATACTTCATACTTTATTTTCTTGACTTCTTTTATTATATCATTTATTTTCTTGACGTGCTGTAATGTCAAAAAACGGTATGTACGTTTCATCAACAGTTATGATTTCAGAAATAATGCGGTATAATCATTAAATAATTTTAGGGTTTCTTTAGTGCTTCTGTCATGCTTCGCGTTTTGGTGTTCTGTTAATTTATGGGCAACTGAGCGACAAACTAATTTTCTCATATGCGGTTCTTCATGAATAATTTTATATATAGCTGCAGATCCAATATTAAGTTTCTTTTCTATCATTTGATATGTACAGCGACTGTCACTTATTAACAATTTTTGCATGGCCAACGCATTTTCTGGGACTTGCCATATACTAATTATAGACGTTGACTGCACTTTTCTCAATTTAGCCTTATTTTAAAATAAAAAAAAAACATTAAAAAATAGCACGATAACGCTTTTGCATCAGTTCCATTTCCTTTTCTTTTAATATTTATTCTGCAATATGTAAATTACAAAGCTCCCACAAATTATTGTCTGTGGACATAATAGACAAATATGTTAGTCATTATGTTATGTCGCTATGCAATATCTATATTCTATGTTAGCCAGGGCTTAATTTCTAAAATTAGAAATGCCGAAGCCCTATGAAGACCGTCAGCAAAGAAGAACAAGAGTAAATAAATAAATAAAATTACTATTAAGCTCATTAATAATTTTAAAATTAAATAATTAATTATTAAATTAATTAATTAATAGCTATTTTTAATTAATGTTTATAAACTTTTTATTTAATCAATAATTATTATATAATTGAATTAAATGTAAAGAGATAAATTAAAATTTAATAAGCAATGTTTAATATAATTTTATTGCTAAAAATAAAATTTTCGAGATAAAATTTCTACTAAAATTGTTATTCAATTACACAAAAGAAATGCCGCAACCTTCTTATTTAGGGCTTCGGTGCGCTCCGGCTAGAATTATGATTTATTACAAAAACTAAGAATCATCGGAGCGGGGATCCGGTAGGCTCCGGCGCAATTTAAGCTCTGATCGTAGGGGTAAAAAAGTTCTTTTATCATCACAAGAATTAAATATACTTAAAATATAGCTGATGAAAATTCAGATAATGCTAAAAAGAGGGCGAAGGTGAATGAGAGAGTGAGGGTATGAGTGGATGGAAATAAAAAATGAGGGAAATCTTGGTGAGAGAGAACATTCTCTTTAACCGCGCCTCTTTGCTGATATAATTATAGCCATCCAGCGAATGCGTGCCAGGGCTAAAATGAGTTCTGAATCTGACTGTTAAGGATGAATATAAAGTTGCTGGTTACGCTTTTCGCCCCCCCCCGTATTTGGTTACTTTAGTGGATACTCTGGGAAGACAATGTATAGGACGTGCTTGAGCAGTTTATCTCAGTATTTCACTCTTACTGTACTCGCTGTCACTTATCGCACATTTAAGAATTCAATTTTTTTTAAATTTTTTTAAGAACACAATAAAGGATAAATAACTGTATGCTAGTGATATTGTGTATCCATAGAGGATAACAATACACTAGATACGATGGCATGGCGAGAAATATACGCGTTCCTAAACAAACTCCCCCAAATTTATCGCCCTTCTTAAAGGGAAAGGTTTCCGCATGTGAGTGAGGGGACTTTACTTGAACGTCTCATGTTCTCATGAGCTCGTATTTCTAGGGAAATAGAGTATTGCAAGATCTGCTTATTGTTAAACTAAAACGTTAGGAATTCTAAATTTTCTTGAAATTGTGGCTCAGTTTTATAAAAAGAAGTACCGGAGCTCATCTTATTTAGGGCTCCGGTGCGCTTCGGTTAGAATTTTAATTTATCTTAAAAATTCAGAAGTACCGGAGCAGGGCTCCTATGGGTTCCGGCGCAATTTAAGCACTGATGCTAGGTCATGTCGCAATGCTATGCCATATCATGTCTTTGCTGAGCTATGTTATGTCGTTATGCAATATCTATATTCCATGCTAGGTCATGTCGCAATGCTATGCCATGTCATGTTGCCATCCAAAGTCCAACTGTCGTCTAGGTAATGTTACGCAGGTATTTTATGTTGTAAACATGTTATGTCGCTATGCTATGCTCTGGATGGATGCGGGTCTCGGACTATACCCGATTAGTCTTTGAAAGCCGTCCAGGTGTCCGGCCCTGCTGTCACCTGCCCTGTGGACATAACATGTTTTAAACTGAACAACAATAAAATTAAAATAGTAAAAGAACTAAAATTCCTCGGGCTCATTCTTGACTCAAAACTTTCATGGATACCCCATGTGGCAGAAATTTGCAGACGTACCAACAGTATCTCAAAAACTCTCTCTAGAATGCAAGGATCAACATGGGGACTTTCAAAGCATATTCAAAGAATTATCTATAATACAGTTATTGAAAAAATGGTTTTGTATGGAATCTCCATATGGGCTAATCCCATGACAGCCAGGAAAGAATGCCTCCCTTTATCATTGCAGCGTCCTTTTCTCTTTCAAATTACCAAAGGATTTCGTACCTACCCAAGAGCACTATGTATCCTTTTCAAATATAACGCCCCCTTCATCTTGAAGCACAGGAAGACTATTTTATCACTAGTATTCTCCAATTGAAAAGAAACATCACATTTGAAGACAATGCTTTTTATCCAGAAGAACGTCAATTTTACAGTCAATACCTTCGACATCCGGCTCAAACTTTGTCGATAATAACTTCTATGAAAAGTAATGCAGATCTCCCATTACATTTCCCAAAAGCAATTACAGATGGATCAAAAATTGAAAATAAAGTAGGTTGTGCTCTAATATTATTTATAAAGTCTCCCCATGATTTAAAGTACTGGCAAGGACATCTTAATTCCAATAACAGCGTATATCAAGCTGAAGTCACTGCAATTAGAGAAGCCATAAGAATTGCATTATTAGAGAAATAAAAATCACTTTTCATCTGTACAAATAGTCAAGCAGCACTACAAGCCATTGCAGATAATAATCACAAATTCCTTCTCATTAATGAAATCCAAGAACTCGTACTCCACAATAAAAATATTAAAGTCTTCATTAACTGGATCAGAGGATATGCAGGTCCTCATTTCAATGAAGAAGTAACTACTTCTAAAAAAGCAAAAAGAGGCGGCACTAGATGATACACTTCCCCTACTCAACATAACATTACCATCCACCTTAAAAACACAATTCGTGAAATTTTTTATAAAAAATGGTTATTAGAAAAAGCAGATGAAGGTAGAAGAGTCAAGTTCTCTTTCAAAAACTAGTGCAAGACTGCTCCTTCACAAAGTTCTATACATAACTGGTCATGGATCCTTTCCCACTTATTATTTTAATTGAAACTTAATGTGTGTACATATGGTGAAAGGGGAGCTCCGGATCACTAGGTTCTCCAATGCCAACTAACTTTAGAACTACATTGTAAAATCCGCTGAATTAACAATATAGCAGATATCCGATACGTTCTACGAACCCCACAAACTCGCCAGAAAAATAACCAAAATTATGCAAAATTAATGTCACTTGACAAAGAAGAAATATGCTTCAGTCCTATAACATCCTAACTGCTTTAATACAAATCAAATCTCATAACATTCTCCACTAATTACCAACTGCTATTTATTATGCAAAGCTATTAAATATGAAGAAATAAAGGAAAGACCTTTTAACCCCTGAAAGGACGTTTCAATAATAAAGACTTATTATGAATAAGGGCAAAGATTTTAAGAGCCTGTTTTTAAGAATAAAGGCTATTATATGAACTGTAGATTTCTGTAAAAGAAAAAGATTTAAAAAAGACAAAGACTTTTAGAAAAAAGGAATTTTAATTCGATAAAACTTATGAAAGAAAAGGACACTCAAATGCCAAAGACTTATTAAAAGAAAGAACTTCTCAATTTAAAACTTTTACGTGATAAAGGCTTAAAGAAAGACAAAGACTACAGTATGCAGTTTATTTTACTTTAACTATCATTTCATTTTTATTTAATTTTATTCTTAATTTATGAATTTCTAAGCTGAAATAAGAATCATATAATATATAGATTATATTAACAAAATTATTGTAAACTATATTATATGCAACACTGTAAATGGTACCAAATGTAAACTTTGTACCAAAATTAATAAATGCCGGATATACGGATGAAGGGCCAGATCCCCACCGGAGGGGATGGTCCTGGAGATATGGGCAGCGATCATTCGTTGTTTGTGTTGAAACCACTCGAGTCTCTTGGCCCTGTTGTTGGACTCGTACAGTAGTGCGACGGAGCAGTGCCTGTATGAGCATATGCAAAGTTCTCGTGCTCCGTTCATGTTTCCCTGTCCCTAAGGACATAAAAGAGTTCAAACGAACGCATCTAACAAATAATTTGGTATTGTCCCAAGTGGCGATCTACCGAATTTTGTTACTTAGTAAATTACTTTTATAATAGATAGCGCCACATCTTTTTCAGACTATTTTGTTTGTAAAAGCAATGTTTCTTTCACATTCAATTTTTCGTTGAATTTGTGAAGAGCTTTTAAAATGTTGTCTTCGAATGTTTGTGATCAATTTACTCTCAAATAAATTTTACGTTTACGTTACAAACAGTTGAAATAAGAAGCATATTAAATAACTGATATCTTAAGCTGTAATTTTTTTATTTCTGTCTCTTAAATTCATTATCTCTCTTCTTTCAACACTGTACTTACAATAAATTGTTTGTAAATAATACGTTTTGAAACAGCTAAATACAACATTACAAAATAAGGTGCACTTTATCTTATTCATTACCTGTTTCATTTTTTATGTGCACAAAATTCTTGATATATTTATAACATTTAGGGGCTCACTTTGAGTTATATTAATATGGAGTAATTCACTAAAATACTTAAATCAGCTAACCTAATTTTTTAAAAAATTTCCAAGCTTTCATTCTGAACGTGTGATAAAATGACGGAACAAACAAATGTGTAAAAACAACAAATTTAGTGGCATCACCTATCGATCCATAAAGTAACTACACAGTTAAGTAAGATAGATCGCCTATTGGAAGAATACCAATAATTTTCCTTTAGTGCATATTCTCTGCCTTAACATATTTACTTACGTATATAAACATACATATTATATCTAATACAAATTTCATAGTACGCAATATAAATCATAATTTCAAGGATTTACGAATTGAAATCCTTATAATGTTAAAATAGTTAAGAGATTCTGTCCACGTTCCTCTCTAAAGACAGAAAGAAAATGGCTGCAAATGGTGACAGAATTTTTTTTATAACTCAATATACAATAACATTGCAATTATTTTTTATTAAAGTATATTAAAGACAATAAGAATAACTTACCGATGAATTCTGCAATAGGCAAAAAATTTGCGTGGTATTGAAAATGTTCTTACCTAGAAGAAATCTTGAACAATTTCTGCGTGTTACCTTCGATGATCTCGAATCTTTCATTGTTCAGAAGATACGTCACCGCAGGTTGTATTTTGAGCAGCTCTACATCTGTATTTAACTTGGATAAAGGTACAAAAATTGTGATGTGAGAGTCGGCTTTCCATGAATTAGGCTTCGTGGAGTTGTGTGCCTTTAATACATGATGTGTATGCCGAAGTCTACGTGATACTGCAGTGTGTTGCTGAATAAAAAAACAAAGATGAATCGAATATTACAGAATATGTTGTCTGAATTGTGTAAATAAACGAAAAATAATTACAAAATTATACACAGAGCTTTTTGAAAAGGCTTAGATTAAATAATAATAGTGCTATACTTAGAAATAAAATTTTCATAATTATGTTGAAATATATGATGTGTGTTACTTCAAACAAAATCACTAAAAATTTATTCTAAACACATGCAAAAATTCAGATAATACTAAAATTATCTCTTCGTCATCCAAACAGAGATGATTTGAAATACTTAGCCAATTTTCCGTTTACATTGAATAAGGGATAAGATTTGATTTACCAGATGATTATACTAAAATGTCTCCGTAAAAGCATTTCCAAAACACGTGACACCAGCAGAAATTAACGCCACACAATAAATGGAATCAGTTAAAATAGTTCAAAACAGATTTACTATGTAGCGTACAATACATACTGCACAGTAATCGGAATCAATTAAAATGGTTCAACAATTCGAGTCATCGACAAGATATAGGTTGATTAAATCGTATTAATCCTACCTTCAGGTTTCTTGTATGGAATTTTTCGATTTGACTGATTTACTGACATTTTCGTGTAGAACTGGTCTAGGACAGGGGCTCTCAAACGAGAGAATTCACAGTTTCGGGGGGAGGGACTGCTGTCCGCCTTTTATTCAATTGTTCAGTATTTAGTTTTAGTTTATGAATATAAAACAAACAGGTTTTATTCGAGATTTGGTATTTATCTACACTTTATATATTTTTGTTCTTTAATTAATAAAATAAATTAAAAATAATCCAAATAAACGTATACCTATTTTAAGTTTTGAAAAGGAGAGAAATGAACTTCTAATAGTGGTGAAAGGGGTGCATGGGACAAAAAGGGTTGAGAACCCTTACTCTAGGCCTTTTCTAACATAAATCGTAGAGAAATGTTAGCCATAAGAAAAAAATGTGGTTAAAAATACAACGCTGTTTCATTCAGAATGGGACTTTGGCCCAGGTGCCTGTCTCACGTGAAACGTTCACGTAAGAAGGAAGTATCAACACAGTGTATCTCGTTTTGCTCACAGCCCCAATAAGAATACTGAGAATTAAATTGCGATAATGGGCCTAAGATGAACGAACACACAGTTCATCAAATCTTTTGAATGTTGGAATTCGCAACTGTATTATACGCCAAATTTCGTAACAATGTTTCGTCATTGTTAAATAAGTAAGCATTGCTGACGAAGCGTATGAAATATTTAAACAAATTCTGATTTTTATTGAGATTCCCTTCTTCTTTGGTATCACTTTTGGGCATTGTGAAGACAATTTGATTGCCTACACAGTATTTTTTGGGGAAGCACTTGCAGCAATCATCCCAGCTCCGAAAATTCACACACATATGAACATCACAGATTACCAAGTACACTCACTCATGGCGAAAGGCGTCTCTCATCAAGATATTCTCCCAAATCATATTACAAAGAAGATTCAGATGAAATTTCAACAAGATGATGGATGAAGTTTCTTAATTGCCATGGCCATCTAAGTTCAAATGACAAGAATTCAATCGAGTGTTGGTTGTTTCAAGCTTGATTTGGGGAAATGGTTATAAATAATATCACTTCTATCACGGACTTGTAATTAATCAGAATCCTCTGTTGCAATTGGTAGACATCAAGGCACAATTATCGTTATCTCGTTGAATTCTTACCTCGTTAGGCAAAAACTGTTTTTGAGATAAAAGAGAAACCTACAACATATTAAAACGGCTGTGGCTGATAAACGTAATTTGTTTCTATTTTTACGTATTTTCAACTGTTGTAATAGCCAAGAAAACTTACATAAATATTAGGAAAAATAAATTTATCATATCGAGAATAAATGTTTCGCCGATAATGATAAAATAATCCTTCTAAATAAATACATACACATTTCTACACGAATTTTATTCATCAGTCACCCAACTTATAGTCATCTTTTAAATAATATCAGAAAAAACTAATTTTCTTGTATTTTAATACTCAGTAATCTAACTCATACGTTGAATTTACATTTGAAAACCAAAATTAACTGAAATTATTATTTAAGATTTTATACATTGTTTAGTATGATTTAGCCGGTTACAGGTAGCCCCTCAGAATGTTCAAAAATTATTTTTACATAAATTAATTACAAGTGCTTCTTTGTTTTATGCTTACAAAAAATTTCATAGAAAAGTTACACAATTCCAGTTTGGTGCACTTACCATTCTATTTGGAATCTTCTTCTCTAATCTTCGAACTCCATGATGAGAGAACTTGAATCCTGAATGTTGCCGTTTCAAGTCATTGTGGTATTTTGTTCCATTTCCCAGATCACGCTTCTGCCGATTATTGCTATTTAATTTGCAAGAATAGCACCCTTCGGTCGAGATAACCTTTTCCCCTGGAATTGTGTAGCTACTTTCACTTGGCACACGTAGACCTCCTAAAGGCAGCAGACTGTTGTCTAAGCTTCCTAAACCTTGTCCGGGTATATGTGAATATGCATTCGGTGAAAGAGTCGACAAGCAATGCCTGTATGAAAAAAAATACAAACAAGTGATATTAATATGAACAGTTTTCACTGGCAGGATAAATAAATATATCCAATGAGTAAGAAAAGACAAATTCAGAGTTATAATGTAGGTTTTTACTGGATTGTAGCAAGAAGAGTATATTGACGCTCATGTGCAGTCATAGCATTGCCACGACAGAGATAGATTAGTGTAATGTGCGCAGTCGTGACTTATCAAATTCGAGTTATATTACAAGCAAACATCGTACACCAAACTAAAATTTTTGTCTCTAAACAGAACGTATATCGCGGAAGCAGTGTAACTGAGTAAAAGAAGCTAAAAGAAAGGCGAAAATATCTTATAAACTTACTGGTTACTATATTCGCAAAACTCCAAATCGGTACAATCGCATAGCATAAATGTACTGAAGCCTATGATGTATGTTTCGAATTTCGTATTTATTCACAAATAATTACTAAATTCGCAGTAAAATTACTAAAAGCATGTATTATGAAATATTTTTATTTTTGTGAGGACATTTAATTATAAAATATAGCAATAAAATGCAAATATAATTACAGAAGGTATTAATCAGGATATATTCACTCCAAAATGCTTCTGCTTATTTACTTCTCTTGTGTACATCATCCTAAATTATCATAAACTTGCGGAATTTTCGTTTGCATGTTCGCAAAATTTTAATTTTGCGTTTTTATCGCATATTAGTATACACTAACGGCATAAAATTCAACGCATTATTGATTAATACGACATATGAATAATTAAATCATCGCAGTGCACTCAGGTTTCCAACTAATTCTTTAGAAATGCATTAGGATCCGCAAAAATGCACGAGAACTCTTAAAATCAATAACCAAGAGAATCATAAAATAACTTAATAAATATCTAATAAAAATAATGGCATTATCATATAGTATTTCGAAGAAGCAAACGATAAAGGAATGCAAATAGATACCTTTTCAATATTAGTTTATATCTAACTTGAAAAAATTCAGCCTAACTGAGAAATCAATTCGGTAATAGGAAAAATTTCTATTACCAAATTGATTCGATGATTTTCAAATTTCGCTGATCGTGTTATCAGTTTGTTTGTTTAGTTAGTTATGAGAAAGTATTGACGGTTATCTACCTAAGAGGAGGGATGCCTTCCTGGAAGACTCTCTAGAGTTCGCTATAAGACACTGACTGACTGATCGCAAAATAATGACACCTATTTACTGATGTAATTTTACGATATTAATTAACTTCTTTTCGTAATCGGATATTTAAATTTTAATACTTATAGCAAGTAAGATATTTAAATTTTGATAAAAATGTAAGCTTTGTGAAAAGCAAAAATCAAATGTGCCTTCGTGTTGTTAACGAAATAAAAAAAATTCTCTCATTACTTGTAGCACAATGCTTTAAATTGCTGAAGTTGAGATGGTGTTCCGTCAGTGCATCTTTTTGTCACAGAATATACAAATTTCATGTCATAGCATAAAAAGATTTCTGAGTGAAGGATCAATAATAACAGTTACTGCCTAGAAAGTCGTCGTCTATTGCAGTAGAAAACAAAGTATAACCATAATTAGTAGGAAAGGCAAGTCACACGTATGCAGCTTTTCATATGAATTTGAAATGGAACATTTAAGAAGAAAAAGGCAGCCACAAACATAAACTTAATATCTCACGACAAATAACAAATAAACCAACGACCATACATTTTTCATTTGGTAAGATTCCATTTAAGTGTGGCTGTAGTAAACTCTAGGTTCCGGATGCCATTCGAAATCTAAACTTCCTTCATACAGATAGGTGCTATCCAAAGTTGGTAATCAACTCCGGATAATTTCTAAACGTGAGATGCGTAAGATCTGATTTTAACTGTTAATTTGATTTCATTTAGCAGTTAAAATTAATTTAATTGCCTTTCCCGACGCCTCCTTCATCATACAATGGAAAAGTGAATACAATGATCTAAATTAATACCACGAAAAACATCTTTAAAATAAATGCCACGACCACCATCTATCGTCCAGAAATACTATTAATTGACACTTTAGAAAAAAATAAAATCTATTGTTATACTTTGTTTCGGTGTTAACGATTATTATCTCTACATATAATAAAAGAAAGATTCTGTCTGTGTGTATGTGTGTATGTGTTTTTCGTTTGCGCTGCGCGTAAGCTAATAGACCCACGGCTGCGAAATTTGGTACATAGGTGCATCTAGACAAGAGCCAGTGCACCTCGAAGCGATTTTTTCGAAATTCGAATTCGAATTTTTTACATTTTATGTTTTGGGACGAAATCGCTTCATTTTGAGACATAATGGGCTATAGGAAAGCGAGATTTTACTCTACACACTGCATTTTCACGTCGTCATGAAACATAGGCACTTAGCTATTTTACGAACTTAAAATAAATTTCGTGTTTCAATAAATCGATTAAATACGAATTTATTTAACAAAGGGAGCTTAACACCTTTTCAACGGATTTTTTCTAAAAACTTTTATTTTTAAAAATGTGCAGTTTATTTATTTATTTATATTTTTTATTTTTGGACACGTTAAACTTTCATCCTTGCGACTGCTTTTACAAAAGAATTTTGGAAAAATGATAATATTTTGTATTTTTAAAAGATTTTTTTAAATGAAGCTTCCGAGTACACTTCTCACATCTCCCATCTTTAAAAGTGTGATTTTGGCAACAATTTTCCTGTCTTATTGTTGTTGATAGATTTTGGATGAAATCGCATCTGTTTGAATAGTTTCATTCTTTTAGAAATATGGGTTTGGCAACAATTTTTCATCGTATTTCTTATGTCTCTGTTTTTAAGAGATTGGCATATTTCATTGCCATTTATATATATATATATTAATACATTTTTATTGATTTTTTTTTGGTAATTAATTTTTTTCTGCAGAATAAAATTCTGCGCGGAATTTCATGTTTTTTGAGTTGCTTTCATGTTATTTTTTGCTTATTTCACTGTTTGAAAAGTTTTGCAGGACTTTTTTTTTTCGTCAACGGAAAGTTGGTTAATTTTTTAATTAGGATAATTAATATTTGTATTAAGGGATATAGCTTATTTCATTGTAATTTTTTCCTCTTGAAAATATAAGATAAAATATCATTAATTATACTTTGCTTTTCAGAATTTTTTGTTTTTTGCATTCTTTTACGTTATTTATTGCTCATTTCGCTGTTTTTAAGATATTGAAAAGTTTTGACCTCCTTTATACCATTTGAGTTCTTAAGATTTTTCAAAGGGAAGTTGGTTAATTTATTTATTAGGATAATTAAATATTTGTATTAATGGATATTGCTTATTTCATTGTAATTTTGTTATACGTAATAACTTTTTTTTTATGAAGTTGTTCTGCAGAATAAAATTCTACGCAGTTTTTCAATTTAACGTTTGGTGTTCCCTTCAGCCATTTTTCCGGTACATTTAAAAGCCAGACGAAGGCGGCAGTGAAGCTGCTAGTTTAAGATAATTTAATAAATAAGTGTGGTTGGAGCCAACTGAAAAATACAAGACAAATTCCTGCTTAGGGGAGAAGACGTCTCAATATATGCTAAGAAAGAAAAAATTATTTACTATAGTGTAGTTATTCATGAGAAGTGAAAATGTATACAGTAACTGATAACAGTCGAAATGTAAGAATATAGATATATAATGTAGAAAATGGTGATGTAGAAAATTCTACTGAATGGATGTAGGTGAAGCGCTTGGAGAAATGGAACTGAAGTAAACTTAGAGGATCAAGAGATGGTGGGCATCTCTTGATTTTATCCATCATTCTAGCCTTACACACATTAAGAGAGGACAAATCAGAAAAATAATATAAAACCATTATGTTGGTATTTGAGAAACTGCACAAGAAACAGTCAGCAATGACCATGAGCCAGTGCATTTTGCTTCTTGTAAACAATGCTTGGGTACATGTCCGAGGAAAAAAGCGAAGAAATTTACCCATTTAGATAAGAAATTTTGCAACAAATCCATTATGTTCCCAGCTGTTTCGTCTGAAAGGGCCTCCAATTTTTCAACTGTTTAGTAGATGAATCAAAGAATTACACACTCTGCAGAAGTAAAGATTCTTCAAATTAGTACGAATGATTAGCAAAATTGTAGCAATTTATGACTATTTTGAATTTTGTGTATATTATTTTATTTATTTTTTTTTGCTTAATATGCGAATCCCATTCAAATTGGTCATTTGAACGATGCAGATTTTTTCTTCTACGTATCAATTTCATTTTTAAGATACATACAAATATAAGAAGAAACTGATAGCAAAGTAAATAAGATATGCGATATTTCTTTGTAAACGTAAAAACTCATTACGTTGAGAGAAGTGAAATGCATGACAGCATCTAATTCTTGTGAACACAGAACTTCAGTTTAATTGTTACAATGTCATATTTATGACGTATTATTTCACTAACGTGGATGCAAAAGTGATTGTGATATATGGGTGATGTCAATCAATGAGGATAGGAATCAACTAAAAGAGAAGAGGAATCAATCTGAGAGGAGCCTAAAGTTTAGTTTTCCAGGAGGGAGACCCACAGAGAGGTCAGGATAAGGAAGGCTCATGGGAGCTGTTAATGAAACGACATCAACCTCTGTATTAATTAAAGTACATATTTTTGTTACTAGTAGTGAGTGGTTTTGTGTGGCTAATAAATGTCAAAATAAGAAAAAGAATGGATATCTCATTGAGGCTGAGAAGACGGTGTAACAGTGATAATCTCAGAACTTAATACAGCAAGGAAGTTTTGTTCTCAAAGAGTGATAGTCTCTGAATAATGAAATAGTTTGATGCATAGGTAATTATAACATTTATATGTTTTTTCAATACAGTGTGCCTTTTTTAATAGAAAGTTAAGATTCTTCGTTTGAGCCACGATAATTGAGAGTTCAGATCACAAAAGTTCACCGATAACGAGGGGATAATATTAACAATCGCTGCAAGTTTTCCCAGAGCTTGGTCTCTCGCTGTTGGAAACGATGGTTGCGCAAGGTGGTCTTTTTTTTTTTTTTTAACCATGTGCCATATGAATAGGAGCCTTTTTTTAAAGAGCCCTCAATGAAGGCATCCCCTTTTACGGCAGGTAATTCTTGAGTGCTTTGTATAATAAATTAATTTAATATTTATTTCCCAGGTTAAATGTAATAACTCAACACATGGTAGGAATATATGGCCTAGAAATAACGAGCATTACATGTTACTGGTTGAAAACATTCTTCATTTCGAAATCGATTACAAAATATAGCAGAACGTTCACATGCATCAGAAATTGACAAACTTCCAAACTTTCCGTACTGCATTATGTCTAATAAGGCTACAATTGCATTATAGGAATTGTGACTAGACCTCTTAGTAACCATCTTTTATGAGAAGCATGATATATTTGCTAGTTGTTCAGCTGAAGACTTAACTTACTCTTGCCCTATTCTTTGGTATCCATCTCGGCAGCTACAAGAATAACCTTGAGGACCTGTAGGAGAACATCCAAAACTGCATGGGGCGTTCTGGCAGCCTCCTCCTCCAGCTTCTAAAGGAAACATGAAAATAATTAGTACAATTACTTTTATTAAAATAAACGAGAAAACTGAAAAGAAAATATTAGTAAACAATTAGTGTAATTTGCTATTGAACAAATGAATGAAAATTAAGTATTCTTACCCAAACAAACTAAGAGATTAGAATCAAAGACAAATCCTGGAGGACAATTGCAAGAATAGCTTCCAACGGTATTTTCACAACTCGCTGCTCCACATACTGGTCCTGCAGCGCATTCATTATCATCTAAATATTACAAACGACCGATAATTATTATTTGAAAATGCTCCATTAAATAACTGTAAGCTAGGATTTTTATTCACCCTGAAGATTTTACTATTATTGTGTCTTCAAGTTCCCGAACTTTCCCACTAATAATTAATAAAGAAATACTAATTTTCTAGAATTCTGCTCTGACGTTTATTATTATTCGTTCTGACTTATTTTTTATGTGTATAAAGAAAGGATGACTTTCGTTTTGAATGTCAGTTCCGTCTGGCTGTCACAATGAAAACAATATTGCACCGGATATTTATGTCTCATGCTTTTGCCTGTTAACTGAATATTACGAACTTCTTTAATCTTTCACAGCAAATATTAAAGGAATTACGTAGGATGGAACATGGATTCAGCAGTCATTAAGGTTTACTTAGAAATTCAGATTTTTTTCATTCTGAAATCATTTATCTTTGGAAATGTAAATTTAACAAACCTATAGAAATCCGGTTTAACGTACATAGCATTTTAGCATCTCGGTGTGAAATCGAGAATGCTTGTTGATGCCGCATCAGAATATGTACTTTTGATTTCTTTCTAGATCTTTCAAAATTGAAATGATTCATTTCTAAAATGAAATTAATGATATGCAAAAGAAAGTTTGAAAATAATATATTTGTTAACAACAGCTATACGCACTTACTCAAATTATTACACATTCAATGTATTTTGGATAATTTAATAAAATATTTTAATATTTCTACTGCTATAATAAATTAAAAACATGCGGAATATGTAACAAATCCCATTAAATTCGTAAAAGAGGAATTTTTTGGTATTTACTAAAATTTGAAATTTTAATTACAAGAAAATATTTTGCCATTTATTTGAACTTATCGAGAGTTAAATTAGTATGTTAGCATGTTCAACCTATTTCAATTCTGCCAATTACAAATCATTTTTTTCTAATGCTCTAAATGGATTTTTTAAATACTGCCCTAACTGACTATATAAACCTTTGCATTTGTCAATTCATTGAATGCTCACATTAATATTTACTATCTCACATATCTCACATTAATATTTACTAAAATGTTGATATATATGTGACTGCAAATAAGATACGGTAAATAACTGAAGTAAAAACACAAGAAAACAAATTACCTATACATTGATTCCAGTAATAATGTTGTCTGAATCCATCTGGGCAAGCACAACGATATGCGCCAATCATATTTTCACAGCCATGCTGACAACGAGTTTCATCCATACATTCATCGGTATCTTTGCAAAAGTAGGAGTTGATGAATAATAAATTATTGCATTCAACACACAAACAATAGAAAAAGAATTCATTTAGTATTAATCTGGATTTGTAATCTTATTATTATACATGTTCATGTTTCAGAAATATGCATTAAAATTACTAATGCTATTCACTTTAACCGAGTAAAATGATATCGAATTCTGTACATACTGAACAATACCTCAGTTTAAATACAGGTGCATTATTTATTTTATGGATAGTATAAATAAATGCTTCATAGATTTAAACTTTTTTATGTAAAATTAAATATAAAAATTATGAACATGTTTTTGACTGAACATTAATGTCATTTTATTTTAGTTCTGAGTAAAAAATATTTATTTTCCAAACCTAAAGCATTTAGAATACTTGTGGCTGAGACAATGCTATTTAAAAAAAAATTACGAAAAATTGCTTTTTAACTGAAAATATAATAATTTGTAATTATATGTGCATCATTCATCAGTTTCATACATTTAATAAAATTTTGTAATTAAAAAAAAATTGTAATAAAATTTTCAGTTGTAAATAAAATATACATAATTTGAAATAGAAATTCAAAATTGGTTAATTCCTGTTTATAAATTTATTGGTCCTATTCAGATTCAAAAGTTGTTTCCTACAGAAAAATTCGTACTGATGTTTTCAGTTATAATTACAAAAAATTCCAGATTTTTGGATAAAAGAATACAACTCAAAGCAAAATGCATGAAAGTTTCTGGACTAACAATGCAAAAATAATACAAAATATATCGGAAGCAAATTTTGAGGAAAACTACCTTATTTTAAAAATGAATAACACAAATAGTATAAGCGATATCAGTTTAATTTTTTAAGTTATAGAAAGACACTTAAAAATTTTTAATCATTAAGTTTTTTTATTACGGTTTAAAAATAATATCATTAAGGTGGCCTCCTTTCTGGTCAATGCATTGAGATAGTCGAGTTTTGAAGTTTTTTTCCCCTTTTACCAGCATATCAACGGGTATGTTGTCGATAGAAGCTTGAACATTGTTCATCAGTTGAGCCAGGGTCTTTGGACGTTAGAGATTTCAGATAGCCCCACAAAAAGAAATCACACGGGGCTAAATCAGGCGAGTGCGCTGGCCACTGACAATCACCTCGTAAGGAGATAAGGCATCCAGGAAAATCATGGTCCAATGATGCTTATTATGGACAATACACACCAAACAATCACACGTTCTGTGTGGAGGTGCTGCTCATGAAATTTTCGGGGATTCATGCCAGTCCTTTTGCTTAATGCATGCTGCAACCGGAAAGATGTAAATGACCCTCATCGCTAAAGAACACAAGGAAATCATGAGGCGTATTGTCAAGAACAGCGATGCATGCAAATGTTTTCGTGAAAGAACATCGCGTGGATTAAATTTTTGCACCACTGGCAATTTATGTGGATAAAAATGCAGTACGTTGAAAAGTACGACTCCACGGAAAACGCGCGCTCCTCTCTCGTCCACTGCATAATCGGTACTAAACCTGTATAACATAAAATGTAAGATACCGCTCTTTTCAATGAGCGCCACCCCACCCTTTTCGGAATAAATGTCGCTAGATGGCGCGCGTTTCAAATAAGGAAGTTTTTTTTCCGCACCCAAAACTAGAAAAAAATTAATTTGATGTTACTAACACTTGGTAACTTTCTTTACATAATTACCATGTGTAATATATTGAATGCAATTATGTACATTAAACTTTTATTTCAAGTTAATGAATTAAAAATTTAAATTGCACATTGTAATATTTTCCTTACCCATGCAGAATTTTCCAGATGGATCCAGATTATATCCTCTGGGACAAAGGCATTTGAAACTGCCAGGCATGTTCATACAAGTACCCGAAGGTGTACATAGATGAGGTTCATCTGTACACTCGTTGATATCTGCAACGATTATAAATTAGAAATATTTTCGATCTACAATAATACATTTTTTTCTATTTTGGAGTTAAGGGTTTACCTATACACTGGCCTCCAACTTGCGAGAAACCTTTCGGACATGTACACTGGTAACTGCCTATTGTGTTCACACATTGATTTTGACAAGTATGTTGACCTGTTTTGCATTCATCAACATCTAAATAAAAACAAGTTTATCACATATTACGAAATTATTGCCTCCACAGCATAAATTGAAGTCAAGTGCAAAAAAGAAAAAAAAAAAAGTTTGCTAAAAGCACACATTAATTTGATTACCTTAAGATTTTTTGAACTTACAATGGCCAAACATTTATAAGTCCGCTTGTCTCTTATTCGTCTAGGTGGAACCTTAACACTACTAACTGATTATTTCATCTTATCTTTGATCCCAAGATTACCGTTATTGAGTAGGGAGAGTTTTGGCGCTCTTTTATGTTCTTAATGAATTGAACTCATATCAATTGATGGGAAGGCACTGAAATTAAATGCCACCAAGGAAAATCATAAAATACTTGACTCACCATGACTTGAAACATTATCGGCGCCAGAGATGGTGTAGACAATGTACTTATACTGGAAGGAAGAATTTAGGGACGGCAACATTTTAAAAATTTATGAAGCTACTAGGCGACCGGCAGAATTTAGGAGTCACAGAGAGTGCATCCGGGCAGCAAAAAGCCTAGCACCAGCCTGCAGTTGATATTCCAAAAATTTGGATCGATTTCATTAAAGGTATCAAAAAGTGTCAAATATCCGTCCTTCCCAACAACGCTAGTCTATAATGCGAAGACAAGATGAATCAATAGGCAAACAAAAATGGAAGAATTGGAGAAATTGCAAGTTTTCTCGCGGAGAAATACTAAAGAGAAGTAGCAACAGAGCTCTTGGAGGCTCATTCTGCGGATGATCCTACCGATGGTTAAATGATTAACGATAATCATATTCAGGAGCGTACTTTTGTAAAAATGTTTCCCATTTAATAAACTTCATTCTCGTTTCATCAAATATACATCGACAGAACAATATGAACTTACCTCTACAGGTAATACTATCAACTGCTAAAACATAGCCTTTGGGACAGGAGCATTTAAAACTACCCTCAGTATTTTCGCAAGTGAATTTGCAAGGTGGTGGAACTTGCTCACATTCGTTAACATCTGTAACAGAAAAGGCATTAATTTCACTTGAAGACTTTAAAGAATAAAGACGAAGAAATGATTTTAAGAAAATAATTTACGTACTTTATGATGTTATTTACTATTTATAATGTTATTTTACTTAAATAACATTATAACGTAATGTTATTTAAGTAAATTTATTTAATGTTATTAAACATTTTGTACTAATAACTTGAAGCAGCTTATTCGTCTTCTTATAGTTATGAATTCATAAGTACTTCAAATCAGATCTTTAGAAATTCATTAAGTAACTTAAAACGGTCCTTTGAAATTTTATTTAATTATTTTAAAATTTAATTTCAATGTGAAAAAATTTAAAAGAAATCAGAGAAACGGTTAAAAATGTCTGCTTATAACAAATAAACAAAAATATGTTAATCTCTCCCAAAAAAATTGTATTAAAAATATTTCTTTCTAGTAATAATTGAGTTATTGAGTAAAAGATTAGAAATAATTAATACATAGTTTATTTTAATCTTTTAGGTATTAATAGCAGAACCATCTGCCAAATTTGAAACTGCACATTGTAACCATAAACATGTAATCTAAATCATACTTCGACAAATGAAAACGTTATGCTTTTTCTTGCATTAGAATCTGATGTTCTCAGATTAAACAAATACAAAATCACAAATTACGCTTTTAACAGTTTAAAATATTACATTTAAAAGAAGTTTGTTGAATAATTTAACTACGCATTCATTAACAAACTCAGAAATTTAAATTGTTTTGCAGACATTCAAAAATCTGTTCCACTTTTAAGAAACAAGAATAATTCTTCAATGAAATTCTTGCACTTTGTGCAGAAGTATCAACGATGTATTTACTTAAGGAGAAATTTCATGAAAAAAATGAACTGCTTATCAGAATGTGAGTGAATTATACAACATTATTAAAATAATTATTATTCCATGTAAAATACTTTTTGTTACTGTGAATAATATTTATTGTCCCACAATATTCATAAAAGTGTCTAAATATTTCTTACCGATATGAAACCTTTATTTTTAAATCTGACTTCAAACACAAATTTTAGAAGCATATCGAGATGAATGTTATTACAAAAATGCAATATTTTAGCTTTCTTTTTACATAAATAAATCATACATTCTTTTTTACATCAGATGAATTTGATTTTTAAATTTTATATTTGATAGTAAACAATTTACAAAGCATTTGGTATAATGTCTTACCAAAGCATCTGGTGCCTGATTGGTCAGGCTTGTATCCTTTGTTGCAGATGCAGCGATATGAACCTAAAGTATTGATGCACCGGCCATTTTGACACAAATTGGACATTAAAGCACATTCATCGACATCTGAAATGGGAAATTATACTAAAGCGATGAAAATATAATCTGAATACATAGAAAACTTTTCATTCATATATAAAGCGATGCATAATATTAAAAAAATTTTATCACAGGACAAGATAAGTGGGCGGGATTCCAGAACTTTGCTTTTAGCGGTATAGTCATGTTGCGCTATTATGGTGTAAGAAGGTATCGTGAAGTGTTGATGATAGGAAGAAATAGATGTATAAGGCACTTCGGCTAAACTAATAGCAGTGAAAGTCCTATCAACACTGCTGCATTAAGGAAAGGTTGTAAACAGATACATATGCGTTTCCAAATTGCATTTTGAAAATACTTTAGAGAATATGAAAAAAATACATGCTAAAAGAGTTTTTGATATTTACATACTGGAGAGTGAATAACTATTAGTTCCATGAGATTTGCGTCGTTATATATGACATAATCAAATATATATAATAAATATGACATAATCAAATAATTATATATGACATAATCGTTATATATGACATAATCAAATATATGACATAATCAATACATAATGGATTCTTAGCTCATGCAGTCAAATTTCAAGGTATTATATGCACATCTGTATACGCATATGAACAATTTTGGGTTTTCGTTTTGGTATTATCCGTAGGATTTGACTGCAAGCTTTTTTTTTATTTACTTATTTCAAAAAATCTTCTCGTGCACCCCAAAGTATCACATGAGGCTTACAAAATGTAAGTAAAATAAAATAAATCAATTCCAAATGATAAGAATAAATCCAACACACATTATTTTAAAAAAGAAGAATAAAATCCAAAAGGCAAATACAGAAAAAAAAAAAAAAAAACATTTACAGCATTTAAAGTAAGAGCCAACAAAATCATTAAAAGCAAGATAGACCGAAGGCAGAGAAACAAATTCATGACATTTCGGTGGCCAATTAATTGAAATTAATTTAATTCTACATTTTAATGAATTTCTTGCATGATTAAGCAAAGGGCAATCGAAAGGTAGGTGGAAGACACTTTGCTAGACCCCCGATGTCACAGTAGTACAAGCTGGAAGATGTTAGCTTAAAGCGTTCAAGATAAACATTAAACTTTCCATGCCCGGACAAAAACTGCGTAACGTAGAACTACGTAATAAGTCCTTATTTTTTAGTCTTTTAAAGACAGTTGAAAAGAAGTTTTTTGTAATATCATGCTTATCAGAAGTGACAATCATGATTTGATTGTTCATTGTTTTAGCTCTGAATATTTTTTTAAAGTAGATTCTGAAATATTTACATCAACATTATTGTTTTTTCTAGTTGCATTATTGGCAAGCCAATCGGCTCTCTCATTTCCATATATTCACCCCTCCCCGCGCACTCGCAAGACACTGAATATCTGAAGCATAATGTAAACATTGAGTTTATAAAATCTGAACACCCTTCTCTAATAAACGCTACTGATATAATTAGTGATTTTTACTTATGTATCTATTTGGTGAATTGATGAAGTATATTGTGGGCAGTGAATCTTGTTTTATGAGTGATATACAAAATGTTAATGTATATTACGTTTGGTACATTTCTTCATGTGGAATCGACATTATTTGATTTTTTTGTGTATGAATGAATATAGATATTTACAAATGTATTTAATCCCAGATTACAATTTTTTAAATATTGCATATTTCCATGTACCAATCGAGAATACTTGGCGATTATTTTTACTGGAGTTTGGGTGTCGGTTTATATACGACTTTAATACGATTTACAAATAATTTTATCACTATAAATGATATTGTAGGCTAAATAATTTTAAACATTTTATATTTACTTTATTTAACCGTATAGATTTCTTAACATCGGTATTCGAATCACATTCTTTTCTAGTAATTCCCTGTAATCTTTGCTTGAAGGTAAATGCCATCGTCTTCCATTTCATCACTGTTTTCGCTATCATCCCCCTCATAGGTAGCATCATGTTCAAATCCATTCATAACATTACACAAAATGACAATTTTTTAAACCTATACGCTGACCTTCTTTGTCTGGACAGCTTTTACCATACAATAGAAATGATTAATAGTACTTTAAAGCAGCGCGCCATTTAGACAGACAGGTATAGTTACAGTTGAAATGTAATAGATAACTCAATGTTTCCTAGAAGTAAATGGGTATAACCCTATTATACTTCCGTTTGTATTAATTTAGAATGTAAAAATAAATATTAGTTTACTGTCGGTGCCTTTGTACTTACAAACTTAGGAGTCATTTCCAGAATTTTGGTAGTACAAATTTTGTTACAAACACAATTTTTATTTTTGGTTTGCAGAATTTTATCATAGTATATAATTAGTCATATTAGATCTTTAGGATCAGGCTTATAATAGATCAAAGCTTTCTTAGTTCATAGTTCATCATTTGTAGTATATGTTTGTACATTAGTGATTCGTAATAGTAAAATTTATTTGCAGTTCGTTGTAGAGACATTAGGTAATTTTTGAAAAGGTAGAGAGATGAAAAATGAGCAACCGCCTTCGCTGGGAATCGAACCACGGACCTCTGGAATACCGGCCCAGAAAACTACACCACGAAGGCACGCTAGGAAAGCGGGAGAAATACCCTATATACTCCCCTTTTTAAAGGGCGACTTTTTTTAGGGGAACCAATCGCCAAATCCTTGGTGTGGAGAATCCTCATCCAACACCCTTTGAGTTCGAGCGCCACTGTAGAGACATTAGGTTAATTGGAAAAGCCGAAGAGATGAAAAATGAGCAATCGCCTTCGCTGGGAATCGAATCACGGACCTCTGGAATACCGGCTCAGGGGGCTACCACTACACCTCGAAGACACTCTAGGAAAGCGGGAGAAATACCTTATATACCCGTCTTTTAAAGGGCGACTGGGGTTTTTAGGGGACCCAATCGCAAAATCTTGGGTGAGGAGAATCATCATCCAACACCCTTTTAGTTCGACCGCCAATGTAGAGACATTAGGTAATTTTTGAAAAGGCGGAGAAACGCCTTCGCCGGGAATCGAACCACGGACCTCTGGAATACCGGCCCAGCGTGCTAACAACTACACCACGAAGGCACAATAGGAAGGCGAGAGAAATACCTTATATCGTAATAGGAGTATTAATAGTTAATCTGTGAGGTTATAATTATTGGAGTTATTGGGTAACTGAGCTGTATCAAATGTTTTCTCCTTTGGATGAAAGGTACATCATGCTATTTTCTATTTTCTCTTTGAAATGCTTATTCTTGATTGCAAATTTAAGAAAAGCATTTGCGTTTGAGGTAGTTAATTTAATATAAAATGATATAGTTAAGAGACTGATATTTATATAATGATTAAAATCTCCCCTATACCTCACATACGTATGGATTGGAAGTAGAGACGTTCCTTTATTTAAAGTATATGGGGAATGGGACATGTTCCGTGAGAAAGCAATTTATGTAGTGGTTAAACGTTGTGCATTGTTCGTTAACATGTGGAGCGATTTCATACCTGTGTCGTAATTTTGCCATTCATTTTCCCAAATATTTGTTTTTATCTTTCCAAGATGAAATTTTAGGTACGATTTCGGCCAAGGATGTTGTATTATTGGACTATTATTGTATGTTATGGCTGATTTTGCAGCTGTATCAGCTTCCTCGTTCCCCGTGATTCCAACTTGAGCCTTGATCCATGAGATTCTTGGAAATAGGCGAGGATGTTGTGAGGTACTTTCGGTAATTTGCTGGTTCAATTCAGATTTATGCTTAGTATTTTGGAGTGCTAGAATAGCTGACTGACTATCTGTAAAGATGTTATTTGCTGCAAGTTCTTAATTATTGAATAATCAATAGCTAATTTTATTACTAAGAGTTCAGAGTTCAAAATGCTATTTTCTTTGGCAAGACGCGCTTTTAATGTAATTTTTTGGTATAGATTCGGTAAGATAATACAAGCACATCCAACACCTGTTTCGATTTTAGAGCCGTCTGTATAGCTAATAGGATAAAAGAAGTTATGAGGGGATGGTTTTAGTGCACAAGAGATTCCGGGATTGGTAGCTGGGTGCTTGCTATAAGGATTTTCCAATTTTGTTGGATCAAATATTTCTTCTTGTATAGTGCATGGTCTTCTTAATTTTAATATTATGTCTTTAATATCCTCGCACTGTGCAGTAATATGGAGAGATTGAATTCCAGAAAGGACGGAGAGAGCTGCATTTGAAGTTGTTCGATAACATTTGGTGATGCGGAGGAGAAAGGGTCGTTGAATCGTTTGTAGTTGTCCTTCTTTTCTTTTTGTCATTGGTTGCGACCAGATTTCTGCACCGTCAATCAAAGAACAATAAACCGTAAAGAACAATCTTTTCAATAACTATGATAAAAAGTATTTTTTGGATGGGTGAGTTTAAACTCCAATTTAAACCTTGGACTTTTCTTAGATTATTTGCTATATTTTAGACCAGACAGACAATGTACACTCACTAAGTCTTTCTGCCCGCAAGGAGACACATCAAGCTTAGGTGCGAAGAAAAGGCATATAGAAAATAGACAATTCGGTTCAATTTTTAAAGGCCAGACTGTCCTAACTGTTGTGTGTCTTAAAATGCAATGAACAATGTGTTCAGAGTTAAAGAAATACAGGTGCCTGATCACCTGAAAATAAATATATTAGGAAATGAGATGCGTCGTTTCAGTACCTATGCAAATCTGAACATTTGTTTTTTATCAGAGAAAGAAAACAAAGCTAAAAAACTCTTGATAAGGAGTGTGGTACTTTGAAAAATCTCTCTGCTTGTACTAGATAAAAGCGCTGGCACAGTCAAGTATAAAAAAAGGGGGGGGATGGGTTGGAGAATAGGAAATTGTATTACAGTTTATTCTATTTAGGAAGATAAGCTTATGCTAAGACAGGAAAGCAAAAAGCATGGAGTATGAAAGCGTGGAGTACAAGTATGAAATTTAATTGCAAATTATATAGTTGGAATTATAGTGAAAGAATGTATTACGACGAGAATGGAGAGGGAATAGAAGATAGAAAGAGTAAAAGGAGAAAAATAGGGAAGCCGGAGAAAGAAAAAGGAAATATACTTACAAGGTTGAATTGAATACTGACAAGGAAACGTTAAATAGTTAGAAATTAGGATTATAATAAATTTATGACACAAAATTAGTATGAAAAGTAATTAATATATTACTTAGAGGAAATAAATCTATATTCAGGCTTATATTAAGAAACTGAGAGAGGGAAGTGAGTTTAAAAATCTGAAAGCTTTCAGACTTTATATTACGCACAAAGGGGCGTTTTTTTAACATTTTGTGTATTACCTTTATTTATTAAATATCATGTTCTTCGCATTTAAACCATAAAATTCAATTCAACAGCAATATCACAAAATATATAAAAGAGAATATCTTTAGAATTTCCGATACACAATCTCGCGCGATAAAATTTCTTTTTTCCGTACAGTGTTGCCATTGCTCACTTTGAAATCGTTGAGTTTCTTAATTAAAACACTCATTAATGCTTTACAAAATATGAAACAGATAATAAAACAAATTCCAAATTTTAAATTTGGGTTTCCAGATGCCCATATTCGGGTGGAGATGTACGTTATTCAAAATTTGATGGCTCACACAAACCGTCGTTTTATAACAATGCCGTCGAGGTACCGTCGACGTTTATGAGGTACCGCCGTTTCATCACACTGCGGGAAAAATGCATACATTTATGCAGATTCTTCATTATTTAATTTCTTTAAATATGATATAGGGCTATAATATTTGATGGCTACAACTTAAAAAGTGATTCGCCGTTTATAGTGAATCAACGAAAAATGCCAAAACGAAATTAATAGTCCTCCCGGGCTAAAAAAAAGCAGAGCGCCATTTAAGGAAAATATCATATGACTACTTAAAACGGTTACTTCAACTCATAAAGAAAGCAAATTTTACCACGCTGCTACCAAAGTGTCAAATGAAACAATAAAGCTCATTTTGGGCACCAGGGAAATGAGGAAGCGGACTTACTCGCATAGGAGGCCGCACAGAACATTGATGCTCAACAAACAGAGTTGCTGCTCCCCAAAAGCAGCATTAAAAGGACAACTTGGAAGGATGCTCTTATCCACTGGCAAGAAGACTGGGATTCCATTCCACAGGGCAGACGCACATACGAGTTCTTCCACAGGGTCAGTGCAGACAGGTTAATTTCAGACCCGCACATAACACGCTTCGTAACTAGACACGGGCCATTTCCCGTTACTTTTATGATAGGCACCTAGCAACTACCAACGTCTGTGTATATGGAGATGTGGGCAAGCCTGATCATTATCTGACATCATGCCCATTTACACGAGACTTCCACGACGCTCTGCCGACTACAAATACAGCCGCCTGCAAAAGATTTATGGTCAGGCAACCTTCAATACAGAGGAAAATATGACTAACTCTTATATAGATATTAATATCTTTATATCAGTTAATGCAGTGTCAATGCATAACTTTAATGCTCAACCTAATATAGGGAAATGCTCATTTTATCTTATGTATGTATTAACGTAATGTATGTATGCATGTACTATTATTGTATAATGTATAACAATGTATATATAGTTATAAGTTGTACAATTTGCACTGGTCTGTAGAGTTTAGAAAATTTTTATTATTGTATGTATTAATATATCGAGTGCACATATTAATGCACCTTTTATGTAACATATGTGTTAATGTAATGTATGTATGCATGTATTATTAATATATATAGTTATAAGCTGCATAATGTGCATTGGTACAGCTTTGCAATATGTCTCTAGAGTTTAGCAAATTTTATTATAGTATGTATTAATATATCGAGTGCACAATTAATGTATAATGTATTATGTATAATGCATTTGATGTATCGAATGCCCCTTTCATGTTATGTATGTACTATCAATGTAATGGACGTGTGTGGTTGTTATTAATGTATAATGTATATAGCTATATATTGCATAATGCGCACTAGTATCGCTCTCCAAAATATCTGTAAAGTTTAGGTACTTTTATTATTGTATGTTTTAATATATCGATTGCACTGTTAATGTTTAGTGTATTAATATATCGAATGCACCTTTTTATGTTATCTGTGTATTATTGTATTGTATGTATGCATGTAATATTAATGTATAATATATATAGCTATAGGTTATACGATGCGCATTGATTAGGTTAGGTTAGGTTATTTAATTAAGGCAAAGTCTCGAGGGCTATCTGCCTAAGGGGAGGGATGCCTTCGTGGAGGACGTTCTAACGGAAACTGGCTCGTACACGTTACAAATGTGGAAAACCACGAAAACACCCATGCAGCCAGACCGTTCGCGGGATTCGAACCTCGGACCGAACTACCAGTGTTCAGCGACTTTACCGCTCGGCCGCTGGTGGGCTCCAATGCGCATTGATACCTCTCTGCAATGTCTGTAAAGTTCAGAAAATTTTATTATTGTGCGTATTAATTTATCGTCCCTGCGTCGAATATTAGAATAGTGCACTCTTAATGTATTATGTAATACGTTATATTACTACTGTGGTAATTCAACATAGTAACAGCACATTTTGATGTAAGTATCTTTATATTGTATAATAAGCACTGGTATTGTAGTAATCCGAAATACGCCTGTTTTCCACCATCTGCCCCTCTTTGTAGTGTTCTTTTTCTGGACAGTTGCGGGATTCGGATGATACCCGAATAGTCAGTGAAAGCCCGGGTGTCCGGACCCTGTTCTCACCTGTCACCACCTGTCAAATGAAACGCATGCCCAAAAGAGAACTGATAAACTATTGAAAATAAAAGTATTCTCTCTTTCTACAGTTCTCTCAGCCCTACCATCCAAATGATGACGTGATGTCTTTGTCGATGATATCGTCTCATCCTTCTTTTTGAAATAGAAGGCGGAAGTGAAGTGGACTTGATAGCTCATCTGATAGGCCTAGCTAAGTTAGATGATTAATTCTTCACATTTTTGGTGATATATGTAATAATTTATCGGTGTGTTGCGAGAGTTTAGTAGAACCATTTACCAACATTCGAGGTTGGAGTGGCGCGGAATAGATAACTGAAACTCTTTTGAAGAATCACAAAATCACTTGCCAATCCGAAGATTTCTTTATCACTTGTCAATTCGTATTAACATATTTTCTTGCATAATATATCTCATTACATGGCATAGCAAAATAGGGGCAATCTGCATCCCACAATTTTAAACTACGTAGCTGCATTTTCTAAACTATGAAGAAATATTTAAGCGGGGAGTCGTGATTTAGCAGGACAGTACAAGCAGCAAAAAGAGGATGCGCACAAAGCAGTTGAAGTATTTATACTCGGAAATTCTTTGTTTGAGTTCTAAATTATGACTAGATAATAAATCGTAAATTTAAAGGTCTGTTGCCATTTAAGTGTCATTCATGTTTTACATTATATATATATATATATATATATATATATATATAGCTAACTTGTTGAACGATTTTAAATTCAATTTATACGTGAGTTTTCAGTCTGGATTGAACTTTTCCAACAAAATCTTGTCTCTCAATTTATACACAAGTTGGCTAGTATTCAAAAATTTACAGGACAAAAGTTTTGCTATAATTTTAATTATTCAGAGTAAAATTAAGATGAAAATGCACACTAATGCAATACCGCTTTGCTACATATCGGTTAGTTAAATGAATATTTCATTTAATAAGCAGTATAAGTTTCTGCATTTTTTTGAACTAAGGACTCAATTTGATTTAATAAATTTAATGGTCCTAAACTATGGTAAATATATTTGCATAAATAATCAGTGGTAGCAAAACGTAAAATGATGTAAAAATGTAAAGACGAGGCAATAAGCATCTCTATGTCTCAGTTGTATACCTGATATAATTACTTTATATCATGTATATTTTCATGTAGGGAATAAAACATGGAAGGATTTTATGTTGTAGACAATATATTATAAGAACTTGAATTCAGAAAGCTAGAACACATTCCAAGAATTTTATAGTAAAATCAGTGCTATTTTGTTGATTCTTTATTAATATTTCGGATAAGAAAAGAAATAATAAATCGCATTAAAAAATTTAGGAACGCACTATAATTCTAAACAAAATTAGAAATCAAATGTTGTATATTTTTACCTTTTCCCTCTTTGTCATATCCAATACCATGAGGACACAGATCATTGTATTCTTCTGTAAATGAAAAAAAGAATACATTTAACATTTTTCATACATTTATGTACGTTGACAAATAAATATGAAGAAAATTAGGAATTTATTTCAGCCAGAATTACATTACTAAGCAAACTACTTTAAAATTCTTAGTATTTCTCTTTGTACAGTTCTATTTATTAAAACACGCCACTATAAGTGATTTAGCAATCGAGTATTTACATAGCATATTTTATAATAAACAAAAAATCGAGCATTTACATAGCATCGTTTACAATAAACTTAAAATTTTTCCTCACTGCAATCATTAAATTACACGAAAAAAAAAAAAAGAAATTCAATCTGCTATAATGCATGTAAAAAGTAAATACTCGTTGGTCGCCTATATGTATGGCCGTTTTTAGTATGTGTAATTGTAACTCAAAATTACACCATGTACCTTTGTAATACGTATATCATTTATATATTTAATACGAATATGAGTTACGTAAAATAATTTTTGAAAACATTCCGAAAATTTTTGTTTGTCTCTTGGTCTTCATATTTTTTTTTCTCCAGAAATTAAATTTTTGATCGTGGATAATTTTGAAGTCTATGGAACCAAGTCTTGTAAACCAAGACTCCTTTTAAGTTGTCTAAGGAACTTAACATGGTACTTTGAGATTGAGTTCTACATAAAAATAGACATTGACTCTTAGAAGCCTCCTGTTAAATGTGTCTGTTTTATAGTTTAGCTATGTTATTCACATGCAGGTTTAGGTTTCACTCACTTTTGAAATTCTTAAAAAGCATTTCAGATGGATTTTAATTGAGCAGTTAACATACATGTTACGAAAAAACATTACTATTATTATTTCATTATTAAATAAAACGTTAGCTATTACTGAATTAACATTCATAAGTAATACACAAGCAACAGACTACTTACTACTTTCCCTAGGAGGACAGAGTTCGCACCGAGGACCCCACGCTGATCCCATTCCACAACAACAATCCACTTTGGTCATCCCTCTCACACCCTGAGCCTGTGAAGAACAGCTTGGCAAGCTGAAACAAGATCCTGATCTCACATCTGGAATACGACAGAAAGAGTTTTATGAATGCAGGAACTGTTCGATAATGAACATTGTTTCTCTAATACGCAAACATACACATGTATCATTTTCAGCAGCTTAATGCATGAAAATACTTGGCATGACTATTTTATTAAAATTTTGTTTGTAATTATGTTAATATATACTACTTGCATATTGTATTTGTTATTATATATATATATATATATATATATATATATATAAAGAAAGAAATTTAGAACCATTTTTTCACAAAGACCCAAAACTGAAATTCTAATAAATAAATTTAAAAAAATTCTATAAATATAGAATTAGAATTTTTTAAAAATTAAAAGAAAAATTAACCATTACAAGAAAAACTAAAAAAGAACGTAAAAGAAGAAGAAGCCAATTAACTCCGATGTAACGTCGTCAGGAGGAGGATACATCGACTTCAATTTCAATTCCTCTTCCATCAAAAAAAATGCTTGCTTTTCTGTACCCAGAATGAGCTGGTGAACCATTCCAATGTATTTTTTAATCTTAACAATTCACCCCAAAACTCTAAATTTAACAAAGATTTTGGAATAGTTCATCAAAATGAATTCATCTTTTAGGTTCTTTTTGGTTTTTTTTGTGATGTTTAGTTAAATTTTTCTTTTATTTTTTTAAAAATTCTAATTTTACATTAATAGGATTTTTTGAAATTTATTTATTTATTTGAATTTTAATTTTTGGTCTTTATGAAAAACTGGTTCTAAATTTCTTTCTATACATATTTACTGATCAATTTTCAGCGGCATAATGCGCGAAAATTCTTGGAATGATGATAAATTTTTCATTTCAAAAATGTTTTCGTGTTTCTGTAATATTATATATAAATATACATATATTTATATTGCATATAAGCGTTTTAAAAGTAAGTTATTAGCAACATGCGTTATGGTTCGAAGAGCAAGCCTTCGAGAACATGATACTTTTTAGCGATATAAGCATTCATGTTTTATTTGAAAAGTGATACACCACAAAATTGGGGTAAGCTATCGCTTATAAGCGATATGCATCCTCGCCTGGAAAGAAAACATTCGACAACATGATAATTTTAGTGGACTATCCCATATAGTTACTTGCGTGATGTTAGAAGAAGCTTTCCCAAGAAACAAGTTTTCCTTAGCATTGGTTTAAACTATGTTCCTAGTGGAAATCGTCATGTTGAAAGCTATATCCCGACTACGCACGCGCGACATTTTGAGAAGCTGGCGAAAATGTCTCGCTTACAGATCTATCTCGCGTACGTTTTTTGCGAGAAAGATGGCGTAAATGAACCAATCAAGTATCCTAAAAGCGAAGATTCCTAAAAATGTTTCTTTGAAGACACAGTCACGGAGAGCTTGCAGGTCTGATAATGGTTTTATAAGTATCCATTCATTATAAACTAAATTGTACACCGCAAAAGTGAGGTTAAGTTACGGATTATAATATATGTTATCATCTGTAAAGCAAAGATTCGATAACATGATTTTTTTGAGCGTGTTAAGCATCTATGCATTATACAAAATAAGTTATAAGAATTACTGATAGTATTAAAATATTTTCAGAAATTAAAAAGATTACTAATTATAAGAAATTTTTAAGACCGACTTTTTATTTGAAAAGTGACACAGCGCAACAATGATTCAGCAGAAAAATTATAATCGACAGTAATCTGGGGCTAAATAAGAACTTTTATGAATGAAGTACAAAATGAAGTGCTCTGCAAAAGGCATTATTAGTTATAATTTTTTTGATTAGCCGTTTTCATTTGTCGAGTGTTCCTCTTCGACATTAAAAGATCCGATTAGGATAATACTTTGAAAGAAGATACGGCAGTTATGTCCTTTTTTTCATAAGCTGTTACCTAATCCTTAGAATCTACGAACGTGTCTAATGAAAATACTTGACACAGTGACTATGGTTAAAATGGATTATAATCTCTCATTAAAAAAGACAATACATTGTTATTAAAAGTGTTCTGTGATAAACGTTCACAGACGTTTCATAAGAATTGTTGCGTCCTTATGAAACAAACGTCTGCGAACATTTAATTCATTGTTATTGTTATACATACATGTTAACAATAAGTAACTTACAGTTTTCCTTATTAAATGATCCTTATTATTGCTAATTATATCTAACTTATCCTTATTGTTATATCCTTACATACTTTGTATTATTGTTTTTATTCATAAGGATTGACATCATGTTTCATAAGAAATGCTATCACAATCCTTATGAAATATCAAAACATATATAAAAATGTCATTATTGATATATAGCAACCAAAGATTTTTTGAACGGCACAGCTTTGAATAACATGCAAAACATTTCATACACCTCTCTTCTTCCTTAAATAATTTAGAGATGTTTTCTGTTGGCATGAGCAGCGGCAGCTAGACGGTGTTGTATACATTAAAATGGGTCTAATTATCAAAAGACAAAGAAAACCTTTGTTTGAATATTCAGTTTGAATTTTTTTCCGGAGAAAGACATAAACTGACATCAAAATTTTACAGATTTAAGAAAAAAAGACGATGAATGAAGAAAATATGGAACTATTTTTTGGGGGGTGGAAGAACATTTGGTTGCTTTGAAATGAATGTTTTCTCCATATAAGTAATTTAAAATTTCTAGTATTAAAAGTTTAAAATTTATTTTTGATACTATTTTATCACTGGAGAATTTTTAGTTTACAAAATCATTTTATATTTAGAACTAGCAGAAAGTATTGTAATTAAATCAGTCTAATGTTTAATATGAGATTTTGAGTCTATTAGGACATCTATACACATCAAAGATTATTAGTGAGAAATTTATACAAACAACAAAATGTTTCTGATAATATTTTACAAGTTAAAATTTACAGTCCCTATTAAAGCTTATAAACACGCGATAAAGTATTGCACATGGAAAAAACACGCGTAGAAAATAAGAACATTTTCAATTTTTATTTAAAAAAGAAAGCAAAGTAGCTTACCGATACATTCCTTTTGAGTACGAGAAGGTTCAAAACCAGGATAACATTCACACCGATAAGAGCCTCTTGTGTTAATGCAACGTCCATTAGCGCATACACCGGGAATTGTTCGACATTCATCAATATCTAATTCAAGCCGAAATAAAAAAATACTATTAATCACAAAATTCCGTAACTATGAAATATGCAGCTATAAAAGTAGACATTTTTTTCCTCATATATGATTTGGTGAAAAGTTATTTCCTACTAAAAACTGGAAGTAACACATTTTATGGTACTTGAGTGCAATAAGCAAAATGTAGTGAGGTCCTTAGAAAAATTTAATTGAAGACTTTTGAAGAGTTGATTCATTTCTTCTTAGAAATACTATTAGGGATTTTGCGTTTAGTTAGCTATTTTTTGTAGAATTGTAATTAAAATTGTATTATTTCCCCGCGTAATGCAGTGCGTGACGAGTTTTAAGAGAAAGGTACGCCGAAGAAGTAAAAATACAGGAGCACGCTCATTTAATAAATATAGTATATCTTATAATTTATATTTATCTTGAAATAATGCAATTGTGCGTTAGCTTTAACTGTACTCTTTTGCTTTCCAGAAACCTCCAGAAAATACCAGAATGTTCTCGTGCATATTTAAAAAGCCTAAAAAAAACCAAAGAAAAAATCTCAGTTCAGTTGTTTACGAAGGTTTTTGTTGTTGATTGTAGCGAATTCGCGGTGAAATCGGATTAGCTTTCTCTGCGCTTGGATGGCGTTTTATTTAACGCTTTAGTACTTTAAAATATAACTACCGGATTGTTAAAATATAACTAGTGGAAACATGCTACTGGTGCTTGGATTGCGTTTTATTTAACGTTTTAGTACTCTAAAATATAACTACTGTGTGATATTGAACGAATATCTGTAAAGAAACATTTCAGCATATTCTTAAGAATAAATTTTATTGACGTTTTATCGAACTTGCGCATTCAATTTATTACGAACCCGTACGCATGCAACAATACAATGAATGCAAAGCAGTGCCCGTTCATATTACAACATGAGCTTTAGATTATTTTGCAGACTTGCAACAATTGCAGTGATGTCAGTTTTAAGCAAGGTGATATCCTCCTTTACTATGGAATCATTGTCTGTGAGCGATAGGGGCAGTGATGCTTAGCATTGTTCATATAAATAGTTTGTTCAAAGCTCTGATTTTATGGCATAAAACCTCTCCTGTGAATGAAGGAAGAGGTTTACTGCATAAAACGTCAAACGCTGGATCAAGTGAAAAAACATCATTATGGTATTAAACAGTTTTCTGTGCAACACATCATGGAGTTCGCGTTGAATTCTGTATTCTCAAATGTTTACAGAAATTAGTTCCTACAAACTCTAACATGTACTGGTTGCCAACATATTGGTTGCCTTTGCTGAATTAACACTGGTGACAAAGTTTACTATTCTGTACTCTGAATTAAAGTTGCTCTTCTCTAATCGGCCAGTAATTAATAAAGTTATCGTAATTTTGAACAGGGATTTATTTTACGGTTTTCCTATATATTTAGTAAAACTCGATCTTAATACAAGGAATCTTCACGTATATCTATCAAGATTTTGATGTCAATAAAAGAAATTTAGAAAATAATGAAAATTTTAATAATATTTTAAAAAGGTACATTTTTAGTCATAAAATTCTGCAGCCTAAACATAGGCAGAACAGAAATCAGTTATAGTCAAATAATTGTTTTCCTCTCATCTCCATCCAGCGATACTTCGGTATCCTTAAATGTGATTCAGTTGCTATAAAATTTTCAAAAATATTGTATTATTAATAGAAAGATATTTAGAAATCTATGTAAATTAATTTATTATAAGCTTTAATCGTGCTACAAATGCAAGCAGCTGAAACTTACGTTGCAGTAATTCGAGTGTTCATAATTTAAAAGCACTTGAAAATTTGTTAATTTTCTTTGATATGTAAAACTGTTGTCTAATTCCAAATTAAAAAGGATGTAAGTATTTGAGATAAAGTAATCTTTTTTAATATGTCACACAATAAATTACTAATGGTAGGCGAATGAAAAGGATATAAATAAGAACATGTATAAATAAAAAAAAATTAAAAAGAAAATAGAAAACTGACCTGCACAATCATCAGCAATGCCCACTTGTTCATAACCATCAGGACATATGCACATGAAAGTTCCAATAAGATTTTTGCAGGCAAATCGACAATTATTTGCTGTTGTCTGGCATTCGTCCAAATCTTTGAAAGTCATCAACATTAGATAAGAAAAGAAAATTATTTTAGTTGAGGTTGCCCATCCACAGAAGTAGAAACAATATAATAGATAATTGAGAAAAGCAAACCCCAAGACAAAAGTTAGAAGTAAAGATATAAATATTTTTCAGAGATTGATTCACCTTCGCAATGTCTTCCATCAGCGGCTAAGGTAAATCCATACGGGCAAATACATCGGAAACTACCATGAGTATTTTGACATCTGAAAGCGCATAAGGAACCCATCTGATCACATTCATTAACATCTGAAATATAGGAAAACCACTTATTTGAAAATTAAAAATCATACACAATTTTTTTTTAAGCTTAACCACGTAACTATAAAGTAAAATATAATTTTTTTTTATATTGCATTGGTGCCAGGATTAAAAATTAAATTGTGTCATTGCTAAGAACGGCTAGTTGGTAGGTATAGATTTTGGCACACAATCTAAAAAGTTATTTGCGCCAGACATGTATCAAATATTTCCAAACACAAGTTTAATACCAGACTTTAAACGAAACACATTGAGGTGAAATGTATATAAAAATAAGAAGATTATAGATGTGAATATGAGGTACATACGTACAGTGTTAAAATGCAAAAGAATATTCTAAGACATGATTCTAAATAGTAAAAACCTAACTCTTGCAGGTAAAGAAACAAATTAGTATTGACCTCTTTTCCGATTATTTGGTCAAGAAGTAAGTCACAATTATTAAAATGCTTCATAAGAAGTCTGCTAAGATAAGAACACTGAGTTAAAAAGTGACACACTGATAAGAAAACATTACAATGGCAACACATAGGTTCACTTTCACCTTTTAAAAGACGATTATGGGTAACGCTACAGTGACCAATTCTAAGGCGAGTTAAAATCACATCCTCCCTCCGGTTTCTAGCAGCCTCCCAACACTCGACTTTATTCTTGATGCTTCGTAACTGGTTACTTACTTGAAGGTCCAAAGTTGCTGCCATTTATTTAAGATCATGTTCTTGATGGTCATGTCGGCATCTCTGACTGGAAGAAACCTAGCAGATAAATTCCACAGCAGATTTTGCAGTAACGTCTGCCAATTCGTTCCCCTTAATACCTATATATACCTATATATGGCCAGGGACCCAACGGTAAAGAATCCGATATCCATAATCAGATAAATGCAAATGCAGTCTTAAAATTTCAACAGTTAGAGAATTCCGGGATCAGAAAATGCCTGTAAAGCTTTAAGTGTACTATACGAGTCAGAGTAAATGATAAACTTTTTCCGATTTTGCTTTGATATATATAAAGGGGCACAGTAGACAGCAGTCAGCTCTGAAGTAAACACCGAGCAGGCCTCATGCAGCTGCAAGACTTCTTATAGTTTCCCATTACAAAAGATGCTCCAACATGAGTTGCTGCTTTTGAGCCATCAGTAAATATGGGACTGTAACCACTGTACCTATGTCTATGTTCAAGAAAAAGCCGTTTGTAGATGATGTCACTCTTATTACGTTTATTAAAATGATGGAAAATATCAAGCAGCTGGATTTGTGCATTTTCCCAACGTACGATATCAAAATACTTCACTGTCTGAGCATTCAAGTTAGTTAAAAAATATTCTTCAAGTAGTGGCCGAACACTTAATAGGAAAGGAGGCACCCAAGATGGTCGTGCTTCAAACAAGCGAACGAGCAAGTTATTGTTCAAAGTGGTGTTCCCAGGATGTCCTGGTTGGGAAAGAACTTTAAAATAAAGTTGAAAACACAACTCTTCACACCTTAAATGGAGATGGTTCAAATGAGTCAACATACAAACTCACACAGGAGACGTCCTAAATGCTCCAGAACATATCCGAAGAGCCTGGTGAGGAATAGAATGTAGTTTTGATAATACAGAAGGTTCTGCCGAGCCATAAACCACTGAATCATAATCTAATTTAGAGCGAATGAGCGATAAATACGCAGTAGCGATTCAAGATCTGCACCCCAAGAGGTGTTCGCCAAGACTTTGAGAAGATTAAGACATTTTTCTCAAATACAGGACATGTGGCACAAAAGACAGCTTTCGGTCAAAAACCACTCCTAAAAATTTCACTTCAGATGCCACTGGTACTGGTGAGCCTTCAAGGTAAAGCTCAGGCTCAGGATGGCGATTTAGTTTTCTACATGCAAGGATTATGTTAATTTTATTAACACTTAAATTTTGAGTTAAAATCCTTTCCTGTCAAATTCTTAACTTCAACTTACTATTTCCAGCTTGAAAGTAGTTTTAGAATCACTGTGAATACATAATGAGGAAGAGCGGCATTTAAACGCGAAGTTCTACTTTCTGAGTTAGACAGCACCAGAGTTTCTGATTTGCGCACGTCTGCCTTTTTGGCTACTCTCTCGCAAAGCTGTTATTACGCTCGGCCGTACAGACCCTTGATAGCTTCGCAGTCAGTTAGCATTAAGGGGCCAACTCGGTTAGAATCTTGATAGCTTCGGCTATATCTCTTTAGTTTAGATTAGTTTTAGTTTAATTCTTAGCCTCTTAAGTTCAAGCCCAAGTGTCGGCTTTTGTTGTACACTCCAAGACGGAGTTCTGTTAAATCTTATTTGAATAATAAAGGGTTAGTTAATAAACTTAAACGATTATTCGCTTATAAGTTCCTAAGATTCTTCACGTTCAATTGTAAATTAGCACTTACAAAGTGAGGAACACTACAGTGGCGCCCGAACTCAAAGGTATATGATGATTTCTCCCCCACCCAGGATTCGGCGATTGGGTCCCATGAACACCCCAGTCGCCATATAAAAGTATGGAGTATATAAGGTATTTCTCTTATATACTCCTAGCGTGTCTTCGGGATGTAGTGGTTCTGCACGCTGGGCCGGTATTTCAGAGGTCCGTGGTTCGGTTCCCGGCGAAGGCGTTTGCTCATTTTTCATCTTTCTTGCTTCCAAAAAATCCTAAAGTCTCTACATACAGAAGTGCATACAAACAGTCTTCTGTTTCGAAAAACTAATTACATGTTTCTTAGACAATGTCTGGATCCTGTTTAGAGCTATTTGCATTTGTCTCTCCACATTAATATCTCATATCTGCACCCTGATAACTGATTTGCAAGTGATCAGCATACAATGAACCTGAAATTGCAGGTGGAAGTTCCTTTAAAACAGAATTTATTTTCAAGCTGAACAAAGTAACGTTTAAAACGCACCCTTGAGGCACACCCTCTTCCTGTTCGAAATTGTCTGACAAAACAGAGCCAATCTTTATTTGAAAGGTCCTAGACCTCAAAAAATTTTGAATGAATATTGGTAAGTTGCCGCGCAAGCCACTGGTATCAACATCCGTAAAATACCGTACCAACATGTCTTGTCGTAAGCCTTCTCAATGTCAAAGAAAACTGATACGAGGTGGTTTCTCTTGACGAAGGCTTTACGGATGCAAGATTCCGGAAGAAACATATTATCAGTTGTCATTCTACTTTCACAGGCACCACTTTGATATGGGGAAAATTTGTTGTTTCTTTCCAAGTAATAGAATAGTTGACGGTTTACCATTTTTTCCAGTACTTTGCACATGCAACTCGTAAGAGCGATGGGCCGATAGTTAGAAGGATTCTTCGGGTCTTTCCTAGGTTTAGCTATGGGAATGACTAAAGCTTTCTTCCATGCGCTGGGAAAGGTATGCTCCATCCACACTCGATTGTAAAGAGTGAGAAGGGAAGCCAAGGACTTACAGGAGAGACGTAAGTACGTAAGGACTTACAGGGCAGTGTAAGTATCCAGCCTTAATACTTTTATCAGGCAACTTGATGCTTTGTATGAATCAACTGACCTTTTCTGCGCATTTTGATTCGCCTGGCAGCACACACATTCTGGTTAGACATCTTAGTGACTATTTCCTCTTCTGAAACCAAAAGTATGTAGATCTCTGAGATAACACCTCGAGAAAAATTGAGTGTTTTATGAGCTGACACATTAATATCGATTTGCCCAAGTTTCTTCAATCCAAGAAGTGTTACAGATTGAGCAGAAGAAACAGTTTGAACTAGAAGATCTACAGAGCGCAGCCGTTTGATATTCTTTGGCTCTCCGATGCAAGATTGAGCATATTTTTGAATTAAAAATGGAGACAGCTTTTGGAGATCGCCTATAGAGTTGTTAATGTCCAGAAACTTGGTAGACTTGCTGAATTTACATCAAGACTGGCATTTTTATTTGTTTTGACTTTTTTAAAGGCATAATTGTGTTCATTTAAAGCATGTAAATTTGTTTGAGCCATAATTGAAAGAAATAAAAATTTGGGTCCGACCGCCCCACCCACCACGGAAGCCCATCGAGGGAACACAGATTCCTGTGTTAGGGCTAGCCAGACCTATACGCAAACTGAAGCCCCACAGTCGGTTTTCCTCGAAAGTAGGTACTCCCGAGAGCTTATCCCCAAAGGGCAAGTGACCTTATTATCCTGACACAAGGACTAGTGACCAGCCGACTGATACACGTGAGAAAGATAAGGTGCCACCCGTTTAGCTGAAGCAGAGGCCAAAGCAGTGTGTTGGGGACAGTACCTCGCCCTTTAATTAGCAGAACCCACCTTTTCAGCGGCACGGGTCTTCACGCACGGCAAACACGTGGGCTGTTTTCTCGCCACTCGAAAACTAGAGACAAGGGCTGTTCCACTCTCTCATGACGAACCCCAACCTCCGAGGAGGAAAACCACAAGGAAGAATGGAAGGAAAAAAGCTTCAGCTCAGAAGAGAGGAGACGATAAAGAGGAAAGATCACTGGGGCACCAGGATCGTGATACCCGTCTCACCAAGAAGATGATTCCCTGAAGGGCTAGGGTACCTCGGGATTGCCACACCCGTACTCACAAAAGTAAGCCGCTGAGGGGTGCTATGAACGAATGGAGTTTTATATCAAAATTAGCGACGATCCATTTCATTCAATTGAAGTAATCCTTTGTACACATTGCATTTTCTCGCTATGATTTCGACTGTCCCTTAATAATTTGCTAAAGTCCTAATACAGTGTTTGTATAGCCCCGTACGATTAATAAAAACTTTATCAGCAACCATTGTCAGCAACAATGACGTTATTTTTTAATCAAAAAACTGTCTAAGAGATACTTAAATGAAATGAAAGTAAAGATTTTTAAATAGCATTTCTTCTGTCAATACTCCGATACGATGTATTTTGGGAGCTCCGGAATTTATGATTAGTTACTTATAATTAAAAATGTTGTGATAACTAAAAAATAAGCATTTTACTGAAGCCGTATAACTCAAAAAATTTTGTATGCTTTTGGTTTATATTTTCCATGCTTAGTCCACAGAAAGATAAAAAAAATACTAAAGGGACAAAAGTATCTCTGTCACTGAAATAAAATTATACTCTCTAATCAACATAACAACAAAGTACATGAAGTTCCCGTTCCTCAAATGTCAGTGATTATGTGATCTCTTTAGGAGTAGTGATTCAGTGACGCTCAATTGCGACGTGATGGATTATAAAATGCATATAATTAATTAATTAATATAGTTTTAAAAGAGAGTGGCGGGTTGGTTCTATAGTCAGTAAATAATTCAATATATTTTAAAAACTGATCGATGTTTCAAAAGAAAGGAAAAAAAAAAAAAAAAAAAGAACGGCGAATTTGGTTAGAGATTTGAGAATGCACTTCATTAAAAAATTATTTTTCGATTTATATGATGGTACAAAGATTGAAATCATGCACAGATTATCTACTAAAGCAACTGATAAATAATATGGAACAAGAATTGGCAACGCACAAGCAAATCTGCAAGATTACAATTTTGAGGATAAAACAGAATCTACTTCAAAATTGAGCGAGTGGAAAAGAAACATTTGCCTCCAAGAGAACAACAAATAGAAATTTTAAAACAGAGGTTTTCAATCGGGGGGGGGGCGGCGGAATTCAGCCCTGGTGAAAATTTCATGGGAGAGGGAAATCCGTCAGCATTTTTATTTAGCTGTTAAGTATTTAGTTTTAATTCATGAATATAATAAACTACTTCTATTCAAGTTTTGGTAGCTATGAAAATTTCCATTTCTGTTGTTTAATTTATAAAACACATTAAAAATAAAAGTATATAAATATTTTTCGAGTTTTAGAAAAGGAGGAATGATTTTCAAGCGACGGCGAAACGGGTGCGTGGGAGGGGGGCAAAACAGGTTGAGAACCACTGCTTTAGAATGTTCATACTAAATGAAGCCCTTCTTTCTTCGTCTTGCCATTTCTTTTCTTAGTTAAAAAATGTCTACATCGAATTTTGATATAATCTTTACGAAATACTGCATTGTCATCGTAAATACATACAGGGTGTCTCAAAAGGTTGTTGCCAAACTTAACATGTTGGTCTGTCATACCATGACAAACAAGAATTACATAGGAACTTGTGTTCGAAAATGTGAACGGCGACCGCTAGAGGGCAATGTTCGCAAGCGTAGAAGGGAAAGAAAAGGAAGGATGTCGAAAGAGGTGTTAATAAGACTTTTTGTAAAGAACAACACAGTTAAATCATAAAAGTTGTTCAAAATTCCTTCCATGGACCACAATGCATGTTTCACGCCGTCGACGCATGGATTCACGAACTCGATCAAAATAGGCAGGTGTGTCACGAACACGTATCGCCCAACCCACGATTCTGCCGACGAGATCCATACCAGATGTTTCGATCGTCTCGTACACTATGGAGTTCATCTATCCCCACGGGTAAAAATTCAAGGGAGCCAGGTCGGGGGATTGCGGTGGCCATGCGACTGGTCTACCTCTGCCAATCCAACGATCAGGATATGACCTATCGAGATATTCCCGTTCAGTGCCGCTAAAATGTGCAGGAGCTCTATCATGCTGAAACCAGATGTTTCGGCGTGTAGCTGCTGGAACGTCAAGCCTGAAATCTGGCAACACTCTTTCCATAAAATGTCACACAAGATATCCATAAAGAACTATGTTAATAAACCGATTAATCCTTCTCCTGCAACGTCCTCGCCTCAAATGTTAGCATTTCCCACTCTGCCATAAGCTTGCGAACCTCTAGCAGTGGGTGGCCGCATTTTCGGACGCAAGTTCCCATGTAAATCTTGTTTGTCATGATATGACTGGCCATCATATTACGTTGGGCAACGACCTTTTGAACACCCTGTATATATCTAAATTTTAAAGCAATCGGTTCGGTATATTGGGGGTGAAAAACTGATTTTCAAGCTTTAACTCAACAAATAAAATTTTGGACTGTTTGAAATTGGGTTATACTAAGCTACTTTAAAAAGGCCTTTCGAGGCCAATGCCAGCCCTCGGCTTGGGATCATAAATTGTATCGTCATCGTACAGCATTCATTTTCTCCACGTCAATTGGGACTTTGTTTCAATTCATTCATATGCGTGCTTTTCGTAAAGCTAAACAGAAATGAAGCTCAGAAAAAAAATTAAGCCACTCGACCTTTTTTTCCGTAGCAGTTGTTCCCATGGTTACGAATCAAACAGGGACGCAGAAAATAACCTGAAATTCCTATTTTAAGGTAACAGACTACAGTTGAAGAACTAAAATTATACAACAAATAATTATTGGTTCGAAATATTTCTCCTTGGTTTTCAATAAATAGAACGCGATTAATAAGTTCAGATATCTGTATTAGAAATAATTTTTAAAAAGGTGTTTGCTTTTCGTGGTTAATTTTTATTCTCTAAAAACTTTAATATCGATGGCAGCCCATTCTTCTTCTTTGATCTTTTCTCTTCAAACATTTCTTTGTAGCAATTGTTTATCATTCAGCGAACAGTAAGGCTACGTACAACATTGGGATCATTTTCCGTAATATGCTTAGATAAGATTTCAACCCTTGTAGTAATTTTTGATAATTGTTAACCTGTTAATTCTTATACAAGCACTTTAACGCAGTCTCGTTCTTCACAAGCTCATTATTTATCTATGCTAATAAATGTTTCATTATCTTGTTCATTAGTATTCGATTTGATGCACTAATGAACTAGATTCTATTAGAACTACATTCTACTAGAATTAGAAGAAGGAAAGTAGAAAAATACATCAAAATTAATTCGGATTACTATCAGAAGTATTTTTTAACACCTATTTTTAAACAAGATATTCTATCTCTTTATCCAAACAATCTTCACCGTGTGAAGTTCCATCAGGATAAGGCTCTAAGACATACCTCTAAATTTACTGCTCAATTTTTTGAAAAAATGAGAAATGAAATAGAAATTGAAGATATTGTTTTTTAAATGCATCCCACCCAAGTCCCGGATGTGTCTCCTGTGAATTACTGTGCATTTGGACTTTTAAAACAAGCTCTTTATAAGCGGCATTCCAAAACACCGCATGAACTCTGGAAGACTGTGAAGGAGAATTGGAATAAAATAAACCCTGATGTTGTTTAAGTAAAGGACTTTTATCCTGGAAATCAAGACGTAATATGATATTTCAACAAAAGGGCTATCAGATTGAGCATATTCGAAAATACAATTCTAAGGATTTATATAAAATTTATATAAAAATTTTTGCAAAATCGTTACAAAAATGTGTGGACATCCTCTGTAGCTGTACTAAAAGATAACCATAGTAATAAATCAACTTGAAGAATAATTTCAATTTGAAAAATTCGGGTGATTTTTAATGCAGTTTAATTTTTAACGTAAAATGATGTAAATAAAAAAATATCAAAATGTTGTTAAAATGTATAATTAGCAGTTAAATAAAATTACAGTGAGAAAGGAACAGACCAACAATAACCATCAGTCTGTTCCAACAGAGTTTTGCATGTGTATTTAGGTTTTATTTTGTGATGAAATGCAGTTAGTAAGGAGAAGAGCTAGACAATCTACAGAAAATACGCAAAAAATAAATGCCATTAGAAATTCGTGTCACTAATTATAATAGGATTATGTTAATAAAACGTATCGTCTAATTACATTAAGAAGTGCGTTTTGTTTAAAATTGCTCATTTTGTTACACTGATAATCAACATACTGTAACAATTTACAGGGACTGACAAGTCTCCTTTCTTTTAATATTTTCGCAAATAATAATAATAATAATAATAATAATAATAATAATGATAATATTAAGGATAAACTACACTAATTTTTATACACAGTAATACGAGATTAATGCAAAGTTGAAATCATAATGATTATCTCATACCTTCACAGGTTTGCCTGGGGCCAGCAATGAAGCCGTCTCTGCATTCGCATTTGAACCCGCCTATTACATTGGTGCACGTGCCATTTCCGCATGCACCTGGAGTTTCTCGGCATTCATCCACGTCTGAAAATAATAATTTTAGTAATAGTAAGGAAAGTAAGTTTGGTTCATTTGCGTTCACAGTTGAATTATGTCACTTTTGGTGTTATTTGCATACAGAGTTGAATTATGTCACAAGATTTCATCAGTTTGTCCGCGCTTCTAAATTTATTTAATAATTTTCGATTGAAACTCAGCTGAAAGCTCCAACAGTTTCATTGAAGAAAGGACATACATTAAGTGACGCTAGTGAAAAGTGACTATTTTAAATTTCGCAACAAAAATTTAGCTTTTGCTATTCCTCTTCATCTACCGTTAGATGGCAGCACTAACGATTATGCTTTCCTCAGAATTCAAATACAGATACCTAATTTTTCGGAGGTTCTAATGCCGCAAAACCCAGCAAAAAGGCCAAAGAAAATTCAGCATTTATTAACAACCGCAGTACAATTATGCTAACATTGTGTATGGTAAAATTACTTTTCATTTTTACCTGAAAAACAATTCAATAGGAGCAGACATTTTTGGCGCCCGCTGCAATCTTCGCCGGTCTTAAATTCTATAGCGTAGTGCCTCCCTTAAATTTTAATAATTTTGTTATCCCCAAATTTGCAGCCTGTTTTTTCACGAAATTCTAAAAATTTTATGGCCCCTAAATTATTTCACCTGGTGCGACGCCATCGTTGCACCGCCTTGAATGGGAGCAAAAAAAATGCATTTTTAATGTGAACATTGAGCCTCATCCCCCTTTTAATAGCATATCATTATATGACGCTCACTATAATGATCGCTTAATTACAACTACTGGTGAAAAAACGACCTATATTATGACAATGCTATAAAGAAAATAATAAATGAATTTTCTTTATAGCAATTATGTGTTACACGTATCCTTCTTTTTTTTTTTTTCCCTGAATGTGAGGGAATTCTATAAGGAACTTTTAATGTTTTTTATACATTTTCTCAAAAATATACTGATAAGCAATCCTATTCCGAAATTCAAACTAAAATTTTGAACTATTACAACTTTTGCTGGATGTCTCGAATATTAGGGAAAGTTCATTTCCGAAGTTGTTTAAAATAGTCTTCCGTTGCCTATCGATGCCCAAAACCACATTTTTAAGTGCATTACTAGATAAAAAAATCAGTATATGTGCAAATAAATACGTTAATACAACTGTGATTAGACTGGTGCACAACCACGGATTTTCTAGTAAATTATTGATTTTTTTAGTGAATTCCAGCGCTAGATTCTAGTAAATTCCAGTTCTAGTAAATTCTAGGATTTTCTAGCAAATTCAAGCGCTTTTTAGTAAATTGTGAAGTAATTCCACATAGGAAGCCTGATGTGAAAGTTATGAAAAGCTCACAAAAAGTGCAACACTACCCAGTTAAATGGTAATTTTGAACTAAAAACAAAGTGTCGAAAATTTTTCCAGAATATTATTTTTTTACCAATGCAATTTCAACTAAAAATGTTTAACATAATGTTATATTATACACTATATAAGTACTTGTGTTGCAGTTTCATTCCTGCTAGACATTTACGGGAAATGAAACTAAAGCCCCGATCGAGAAATTGTTAATAAAAGTCCGAGACCGTACAGTTCTACGAATTTTGCCTTTTTTCTCCAGAAACAAAATTACTGCTCTAATAGTCAAAATTTGATGTGAACCTAATTCCTTAAAAGTTAATAAACAGTCAGAAACTGAAACATCAGACAATGAAATAAATTATAAAAATAATTTTGCATTCAATTTTTGCTATTCTTTCTCAATCGACTACCTTTGATACGGACATATTCCAGAAGAGAATTTCTGAAAATGGAAAGGTTATTTAAGTAATATTAGAAATTATTTAAATTATATGTTTTATATAAGTTGCTATTTTTACTTATATAAGTTGCTTTGTAAAGACTTGAACATCTATACTACAATTTCATCAATTTTTATCTTTCTTTTTTTTAATTTAAGATTTTAAATTTATTATCAGACAAAACAACAAACAAACAAACAACAATAAATAAATAAAATTTATTTTTGTAATTAAGTACATATTATTTCTTTTAAATAATTTAAACTAAAATAAAATGATCCTAAAGAAAATTCTGAAGTTTGTTTCATTTTATGCAAAATACATACAAAATGGTTTGAGTGCAAAAAAATGAACAATCCGCTTTTTTTAAAGGAAAACAAGCTTAAGGTTTTAAAAATTAATCCGAAAAATCTCAGACCCAAATAATTTGGATAAACGGGTTTCTATTCCACAAGGAAATCCAACGAACTACAAAGGCTAAATTTAACTGCACATAACCAAAGGCCTATAAACAGAGTATATTTCTAAGTTGCTCGTGAGATGATTAAATACAAAAGCTTTTCAGCAATAATGCTCCTTCAGAAAGCTCAATTTACCAAGTCGAGAAAAAATGATACTTACCTATACATTTAGTACCATTCCGATCGATTTTAAAACCTTCCTGGCATTCACAACGGTGACCGCCATCGGTATTGATACACATACCATTTTCACAGAGAGTTGGATCCATCATGCATTCGTTTATATCTGAAAAATTTATTATATTAGTTTTACTCAGAACTGTATGGCATGTAATGAACAAACTCATTTTCTTCAAGAGATTTTAGAATATTCTAATTTAGTATGGAAAAATAATAAATTGGATAAAAGACCTTAAGATAATATAATAAGATTTTTTACTTCCTTGTACGAAGTAAAGGAAATACTGTAATCACGAAAAATTCCTAGTATCATATTTCAACGAAAAATTCATTTTGATTGCCATCGAAAGCAATTTAATAATGTTTTTGCGTGAGATCTGTACGTACGGACATAATAAAGGACTTTCCCCACACGAATTATAAAATTGATGTAAAATGGATTTAGAATAGATTTTTTTCCTGGCATCTGTACGTACGTACGTACGTATGTATGTACGTATCTCCATAACTTAAAAACGAATAGCCTCACAACGTTAAAATTTCGTATATAGACTGCTATAATATGTAGTTGTGCACCTCTCTTTTGGTTGAAAACGGTCGCAAAAGTGTATATAAATATATATACACACACCCACTGTGTTACTCGGCTCCGTGAGCTCAGTTATTGTTATTTTTATATATTGGTATATTGCGCATTTTTTGCTTTAAAACTGATTCAGTTACGTTGTTCTTATCTTCCGGTTAAGGTTTTTATGCCTCTAGTTAATCTGCATGCAATGGTTTTAGAATTATGAACAATTTAAACGTTGTTTAAGTGCGGCTAAGCCTAATTTTTGTTTACCATAGTTACCATTTGTTTACCATTTTTCAATTTTTAATGAAGATATTTTGAGGTTTTATGTATTTTGTCTTTCCTCGAAGTGAGAACTGAATAAATTGAATGATAAACCTATCTCTAATGAAATTAGAGAAAATAAGTTTAAATGAAATTCAGAAAAATTTGCGTATAACTTAATATTTTGTACAAAGAAGTCATGTGATGTCCGCACCAGATTTTCATTCTTGTATGTTGGCAAATTGTGTATTTTTTGCTTTAAAGGTGATTGAATTATATGGTTTTTATGTTCCGGTTAAGGTTTGTATGCCTTTAGATAATCTGCATGCAATACTTGTATAATTATAAGTAATGTAAAAGTTTAAGCGGCAAGTTAACTTAACGAGCCACCATTTGTTTACATTTGAAACTCAGAAAAATAGTGAATTAAATCAGTTTCTGTACCTTTAATGTCTTTTGCCGAGTGGGACCAAAAGTAAACTTTCAGTTTTCTGCACCAAAAAATCTGCCTTCTTGCATGCTGTCCGAATTCCTTGTTGTTGGGTAGAAATTCTAATTTTAACTGTAAAAACTGATTTTTAAACTATATTTGGTGTTTTATGTTTTCTGTATTTTGCAATTTTTAATGAAGATGTTTTGAGGTTTTATGTACTTTTGCTTTGTCACGAAGTGAGAACTGAATTAAGTGGATGTATATCTCTAATGAAATTCGAGGAAATAAATTTAAATGAAATGCAGCAAAAATGTGTATAATTGAATAGGCCATACAAGGAAATAATGTGATGCCCACATCAGATTTTTTCTCATTGCTTATAAGAGCTAGTTTCCAGTGAAATATTCTCTTTGATACATCCTTCTATGCAAATGAACAGATACACAGTCGTTTCCAATGTATTTCGTGTATTCTGCTATGAATAATTATTCATTTCTTATCTTCATCGCTTAAAATCAAACAGTTTTTTTGCATTTTCCCTTTGTGTATATTATCTTGGATATTGTTTGTTTTGTGCATATTATTACCAGTGAATGTTTTTATATTTCCCATCAGACCAATAAGCATGCGAGTATTTATTTCTTTAAACTAGAAACATAAGTTATCTAAAATACAACAATCTGCCATTTGATTTTGAATTTTTTCATAATATTTACTGTACATTAAATTTTACTGTACTTTGCAATGTAATATTAATTTTAATTTGCAAACAGAAATAATCTGTGGTGGCATCTGTTTTAATTCAGAAAAAAAAACTAGTTTTTAATTCATGTTAATATTATTACAAATTAAAGGTATTATTAATTAATTACCTTCTATTATTCCTCCCTCGTGTATGACATATCCAAAGCCATCAGGACACAGTTTTCTGAAAGCTTCTGAAAAACGTTAATAAAGAAAGACATGCTTAAGAGGTTTCTGCAATTTTTTCTTTCAGAGAAGTGATATTATTGAAATAAAAATATAGTATTTAAAGCGTTAAATTAAAAAAAGGTTAAAAAAAAAAAATTACGAATTTATGAAAATATATTTGAGAATTTAAATCTATCGGAGAAATAAGAATGCTATTATAGTGGTTGACAGCCACCATAAGATTTTAAGAAAATTTTTAATTTTTAGTTTCAAGGGGAAAAACCAGTTATATCAATCTAAAATAGTTATAAAGGTATCTAAAAAATTAAAAAAATACATTACATACTACAACTCATTAAAATGCACATTAAAATATATTATGTATGTGCTCTGAACCGAATTTGTATGTATGCAAGTATAGCATTTTGAAAAATACACGTGTGCGTCAAAACAAAAGAAAACTGAAAAAAGAAGTCAATTTGCTTTTGGATCTGCCAATTGTATTAAAAGAAAAATGATAAAGATACAATGAGTGTGTTGGGTATAAAACTGCTTTTACTGTTTTTATATTTTTCTCAGCTAAATAAATAATAATTTAAAACTAACTCGTGCAATTGAAACAATTTGGTTTCAGATGCGGTACTAACTTTTATTGGAAGAAAATTTTGCTACTAGACAGAAAAATGTTAGAAGGATATAATGAACTAGATATGAGGAAAATATGACAAGGAAAGTAGTTCAAGAATATGATTTTTGGGAATGAAAGTGAAAGCACAGTTTTCTGTTAGACAAGTTTTCGTTAGCTGTTAGTGCTGCATGAAATTCTGAAAATTTGCATTGCTTATGAACTAATATTTCATGCAAATAATATTATAAAATGATAAGAATTATAAAATACGAAAGAAAGAAAACTGTAAATAATACCTCCTCTTTGATTTGGACATAGCTCGCAAGGGTAACCCCAAGCCACAGATCCTTTCATACAGCAGCACTCCTTTCTTGTCATGTTCGAAAGCTTTGGTGATCCGCAAAGACCATTCACATACTCTTGGAAACATAAGCTTTGTCTCGTATCTGCAGCGTCAAGAGAAAAAATAAATTGATGGTAATAATAATCATAAAAAATAAAAAAATTTTAACCGTTTTAGGAAATATGAAACTGATATAGAAAAATATTCACAAAGAATGAAGCATTGGTTTTCATTTTTATGGGAGGAAAGCCGTTTGAATCAGCTGACTCGTTTGAGAATACGTAAAATTATTTTTTCGCTTGTCAGGGCAACGTAAAAGCTCCATTAAACTAATACATTCTAATCATGCCTATATGATATTAAATAAAGAACAGCTAGAAATATAACCATCTTTAGTATTTTTTCAGGTAGTGCAATAGGCACAGAGAAGCTCAAGTAATGAAAGGAATAACACTGCTATTACATTATTATACGCTAGTATACACTATTAGATACTATTATATTATGCATTTATTTTTTTAGAAATACTAAGGAATCAAGTGGCACTAAAGTTTTTCACAGGAAATGTACTATTGCTAGTTAACTGAATAAGTTAGAACGAGAATATGCTAATTAGTAAATAAATTTGTACCAAGATGATGGATGATACAAGGATATAATTTTGTCAGTGAGGAACGTGAAGCTGATTCTTATAGATGGAAAATGGCTACAAGATAGCATTTAAGCGATGATGACTTTTAGGTTGTAAATAACAGATGAATAGGAATGCATTCATAATTAAGGTTCTAAGATAGTTTAGCATGCTCTGAACAGCGGTGAACAGACGAGAAAACTATGCAAACGATCCAAAACCGGACTCTCATTATGATCCAAATAAGATAATGGAAAAGATTCAAAATCAGATCCTGAAAATCAGATTAGTAAGCGTCAGATACCAGTTATGCCAGAAGAACTTCAGCTTAACATGATCGATACCTGGTTAGAAGGCTCTAACCAGCTAATCATGAGATCTCGTCAGCTGGATGGATCGCTTACAACAATTATAGGTCATAACAATTAGCAATACTTCACTGCATAATGTCTAAAAAAGTTCATGAGAGCATGCGTTATGCAAGATGATATGATGATGATTTGTAAAATCAGCAATTTTATGAATATTTTTAATTAGAAGGAAAAAAAATCTTTCTTTAGCTCAAGTTTATCGGCACACTCAATTACTATATTGTTAGGAGCTGCATGAATAATCTAATACTTTGCCCGTGTATGGCCATATAATATCTTGATCTCGGGGTGTTGCGGTTTTCATTTCGGGACGATACCCGATTAGTCTATGCAAGCCGCCCGGGGTCCGGACATGCTCTCACCTGTGTCCTGTTAGGAGCTACAGTAGCTTAAAAGGTATATTAAATTTAAAAACTTCTCATTGTGTACGTTAAATTTGTGTTCATGGAACGTGCTTTGAAATATCGTCAGCTATGCTTTACATACTAAATAGCAAACCATTTTCAACTAATAGTTACCTATTTGACAATTTTTAAAGTCCATAAACATTGCTTCTTAACATTTAACTGAAAAACTTCAACGCAAATTGCAGATCTGCGTATTTATAACCCAGGCCATGGAACTAACCAGTCTATAACTACGAATAAAAATGGAAAGCATTAGAGCGTTACTCTAGTACTCTAATAACAATATCAGAATTATTATTAAAATTTTGATATAATAAATCTTCACCATTTAATTAATTTTTATTATTATCTAATAAATATTATTTGTACTGTTCTTTAGATACTTTTTATTTCAAATTTAGTGGAGACTAGAAAACAGAAGAAAGTACCTATGCATTCTTTGCCAGAGGCCGACAACCGAAATCCTCTAGGACAGGTGCAGGTGAAACTTCCGTCAGTATTGGAGCACGTCCCTCCGTCACATATCGATTGTATGGTACGGCACTCATCGACATCTAAAAGAAATCTGATAAATTAGACATTAAGAAAAAATGCTCGAGTAAAATGTGCAAGATAAATAAGCAAATTTTAAATATGAAAATACAGAAAATTAATGCAAGAGTTTAAATTTGTGACTCATAACTATTACTAATATTCCTGCCCAATTTATTACTGAAATTGTACTATATAACAATGAAAAAAAATGCGCCGCATAATTTTGTTACCATATCAATAAATTAAAATAAAAAATTACTTCTGAATTCTAAATGCCAGCATATAATAATTGCCTCTTTCTTTGCCTGCCCAGCCAATGCAGTCCAGTGGAACGGTGTCTGAACACGAGGGTACCTGGGCAAAAGCCTTACCTCTTGTAGAAAAGTTAGAAATTTCGAATGCCAAAAAGCAAAACAGCCAAAAAGATACATGTAGTAATGGTACCAAAAAGTACATGTAGTAGCCATTGCATGGGTCCAGGTTCAAATTCCGGAGAAGGCTTAGATATTTGTAAATAGTTGATCCAGAGTAGATTTTACATTAGTGAAAACTTACACAGGTGTAGCATTTCAAACTGGGGTACCCACACGAGTTAATACAAATTCCATTGTGTATTTTCCAGGTTTTCCTACCGGATATATAAATTACTGTAAAATTTATAAAACGTAATGCTCAGCAATTATAGACTAATCAGATATAAGATATTTTTAAGCAATTCAATGGTAGACTACAACTTAATATAAGTTTAGACTAAAGGGGGCTAAACTAAAGCAGAAACAAACAAATAAGTAATACTTAATACCTGAAATTGTTTCCACAAGTTATATTACCGTGCATTACTACTTACTTAATTTAAACCTGATTCAAACGTTAGACTAAGAAAGGACTTCTAATTCTTCACGAATGCACCAGAACATTTGCAGCAATATAGTCAGAATATCAACGACAGATTATGTTATGCTAAAATATCCAATGTATAACAAAATAGAGATAAAGGAAGAACGCAAAAATAGAGATAAACTGTAATGCACAATAAAATTTTAATAAAGGAATATACTTATGAAAAATAAATAAAAGTATATACATAATGCATAAACATAATAAAGTGTAATATAGAGATTAACTACATAGGCGCTACGTATTTTACTGACCAGGTACGGATTCGCCAAGGTTATTATTATATTCTAAGACACGAATGTTGTATTATCTACATTAAAGCAACAGACTAATATTCGAGTTACTGTATTGTAGGTTACATTCCTTCGCATTATGTTTGAAAAATACTTTCAGAATGCTGAAATTCATGTCTCCTGCTTTAAAAAACTATTCTAAATAATGCAGTCTAATAATATTTAATTATTTTCTCTTGCTCATTTAATTAAATTAGCAGCATACTGAGTGACTTTAATAATGTTAGAGTATGCTGCTGTTATACATTTATTCTATCACGGCAGTTTAAACATATATGAAACATGTTAATATAAGCTTCATGCTACTCTACATTACATAAAAATTAATAAATTATATATGCTGATACTAAAACTGAGCAATAATAAAAGTAACTTATACTGATACCAAAAATAATGAGAAATGATAGGTTAAATACATTACTGCAAATTTTGCGCTTCGAGTGAGATTTTGAGAAGAAACTTATAAACCTAACGTCCTGTCGTGGCTCAATCACATTGTTCTCTCTATTTAGAGATTAATTGTTTGAGAGTCTGCCTCTTGAGGAATGCGATCGGTTTTAGAGTTTGGGCTTTCCTTGGTAATGTGGAGTTCACTAAATGTTCATAAACTAAATAAGATGGCATTCTCTTTTTGCAATGACCTACTAGTTTTATCTATTCATTCGTTTCCTCGAAGGTCTTAAAGTGTACCAGTCATTTTAAATATGTGATCTAAATGTCAAATGCCATAATCTTTTAAAAGAAAGGCTGATTTATCACAAACCTCTGCATTATTTCGTAACATGATCGTGGATGCTCTTCATTCGTTTACTGTCTACATGGATTTCTCCATTACATTTATCGTTTGACAGTACAGAACGTATTTTAGCTTTTGGTTAGTTAACATTACAAAGAGAAGATCGAGAACCTTTATTTTCTTTGTTTATGAGATTTGTATCCACTTTGTGTTCATTACCTTGCTCTCTACAATATTTTGTTTCCTTTAATGATCTAGAAATCATTCATAAGAATAGTAGATTATTAAAGTAAATAATAACAATATAAAGCCATAGATACACCATCAAAATCACGAATCTGAAAAATACTGCTTTAAAAGAAAAAGTTTAAAGCTAGAAAATATTAAAAACTTTGAAAATATCGAATAAGGCCTTTAGCACAATAAATCTCCGACAGATTTTCAGAGCTTCCTGATCTAATGTGAAACGTTGAAAAATATGCATAATAAAGAAAAAAGTGCAGATTAGCGTTTGTATCTACGATGATGAATTAAGAAAATTGAACTATACGTAATGCATGAATGGTAATAGAAAAGAAAATTAAACAGTATGGTATACAAATACTAGCAAGATATGTAAAAATAATACTATTATGTAAAGGTAACGCTTCCCAAATGATTTACTTCCTAAAGAATGAAATGTTCTGTTTCATGGAGGAAAAAACGATTTTCTCCATTTATATCAAGCTAGATAAAAAATACCGGAATAAACTCGTATAAAAATGCTTTACATACCCATATCTCTCGAAAATATGCTCCATAAATCACAAAAAGTACCAAAAAAATATAATAGTTTTATGGCAGCAAATAGTGGGAAAAAATACGTTTCTGAAAAGTATCTAGGGAGACCAACTATAACTTTTAACCAAGTACAAAGAGAAAATGTCTAAAACTATTTTTTATATTTTATTTTCTGAATTTTACTTTAATACTAAATTTATGCACCTGAAGAGTTCAAATGCATGAATAAAATTTTCTATTCATATTTTTGTAAAGTTCTATTTCAAGGTAATCGATTAAATTTGACATTTTATCTGTTTTATCTATCATGCATACTTTCGATATCATTCACATCAGAAGTATGCGGATTTAATGAGTATGGAAGAAGACACGCAGCGAGTTTGAACTGTAGCAGTTAGGTATGACCAGCACGGGACTGCTCAATTCCTTGAGAGCAGATAGCTAGAAGACGTGAACTCGAGCATGAGCAAATAAAGGTTTCGTTTGTAGCGACATTAGGTTACTTCGAAGCAGGAGAGATGAAGAATGAGCAATGCCTTCGTCGGGACTCGAACCACGGTCCTCTCGAATACGTGTCAAGCATGCTGACCACTACACCACGCAGACATGCTAAGAAGGGGGGGGGGAGAAATACCTTATACGTTTTTTAGCGACTAGGAATTATAGACAGTGGTAAAGAATTGTAGATTTGCACATAACTATCGGCGATTAGTAGATAACGCTTACCAAACTGCAAATACTGAAACTCCTGTAAGCTGCCGTTAATTTCTTCTGTGCAACTACAAATTATTAGTTACCAATACATAATTTATTGTCTTCTTACCTTAATCACAATACTGAGTACAAAAATAATAATGCAGTTTACATCAAGGTATTAATAAAATAGGGTAGAAGGGTAGGAACCCTGCAATTAATTTACGTTTTTAATTTCTTCTTCTTTTGATAAATTAAAAAAAGTTTAAAAATAATTAAAAGTGTTTAATTCTTCGGAAAATTATAAAGTATTTAACAAATAAAAACATGTATACGAAACGCTTCTGCGAAAATGCTAACGAATACACTGTTTATACACGGCTGAATAGTAGATATCGAAATTTGGACTGTTTGTTAAAGCTCAAAGATGGTGATAATTCCATAATAATGTTTAATAATAATACTAATCGGAGTAGTTTGTAATTACAGAGTTAGAAATTCAGAATATTATCTTATAATAGTAAAGAATAGTACGAGCAAAGTACAGATTTACCTACACTAAAAATTTTGATAACTCCCTATTTATATTTGTATGAATATTTGCATGCTTTTATTCCGCAATCATATGAATCTTTCCTTCCACCACATAGCAAAGATGCAAAGAAGGCAATACACTTGTAACTTCAAATAACTGGACTAAATGGTACCACAGTCCATCCGAATACTTAGAATATTTGAATAATTTTTTCGGTATGCCAAATATACGTATTTACTTTTCGGTATGTCAAAATACGTATTTACTTTAATGCAAGTGAAGAAGTTCGATTTTTTAATCCAATTTAATTTCAACAAAGATTAAGCAATTAAAAAGTATATTTTTATTTCCGAATAAAGTTAAGCAATATATTTTTTCCCCTTAAACATCAAATTTAGTTCTACTGAATGTACACTACTAGCCATTAAAATTGCAACACCCTGATGGAAAGCAAATACAAAAAAATATATTTATTGAACGGAAGCAGTATGGCATGAAGACAGAATATCGAATGCAAGCAGGCGACGTGCGGTCTCCTCGGAGCCTCCAGACATGTATACGGCCATCAGAAATCCGAAACCGGGACTCGTTTGATTAGGTGACATTGTGCCACTCTTGTACTCAGCTTTGTCGTTTGTCGCACCAGAGTGGCCGTCTCTCTCTATGCTGCATTGTCATTCAAGCCGAAGTAATGGTCACCCAGCTGATTGTCCACGCTGCTGCAAACGTCGACGCACCTTATGAGCTGATACTGGGTGTGCAGCAAATATGTCCATTTCCTGACTAATGGTCCGTGATGTGGTCGTACGGTTTTGCAGGGTTGATCTCACAATATGTCTATCCTCTCTGGCGTTAGTCATGGGAGGGCGTTGAGATGCTGCATGCCGTTCAGTATGGCCTTCGGAAATCTATTGATTAAATATTCGCATGACAGGGTGGAGTCGACAGGCGACTGGCGATATTACGGAACGACAATCACACTCTCGATAGGCAACGATCCTGCCTCTATCGAATATCGAAACTTGCTGGTAAGCATTTCCTCTTGTTATTCGAGGCATAACACGATATTCTGAGCAAACTCCAACCTTACAAAGCACTTTCAGAATGAGAAATCCGCTCCACAACGTTTGTTTTATGCAGTGCTTTAGATGTCGTTTCTCCTTCCTGTGTCGTCTAAATTAGCTGAAATACTAATCACTTGCATATCCCAACTTCATCCTTTCACCTGATTTTGACATTCATCAGATCATTCCTTCCTAATGTTGTAATTTTAATGGCCAGCTGTGTAATTGTTACATAACATTTGAACTAATAGCAACATCACCATGCTTAAATTTTGAAAAGAAGACTTATTTTAGCAACGCGAATATTTACGAAGGAAACAAAGAAGAGTACGCCAGATTACTTTTTCTTTTAATCTGAACATCCTGCAATTCATTACGATGCCAATTTATATATCTAATTATTCATCGAAATTTATTTAATAGCTTCTTAAATAAGCTTTGTTTTGTCTTGTATTTTATATTGTTTAAACAAATGAGAAAATCACAAATACATATTTAAATATTAACAAAAAGCTTTATTTTATTTGCTCTTAAGGGTACAAAAAAAGGCGATTCGGATAATTGGACTTCTGGCATGTATGAGGCTTACTGCATACATGCCGCTTTTATTAAAAGTTTGGAAATAAAGTAAAAAAAAAGTATCTTACCTACACAGTTTCTTTTGTCTGGAGTCAAACGATAGCCATCATTACAAGTACACTGGAAAGATCCTTCGTAGTTCCGGCAAGTACCATGAACGCACACATTTTCCAAACATTCATTAACATCTGAAATCGTATTAAAAAACCAAATAAAAATAACATACTTCACCAAAGTAATTTAGCCTTTTTATAAATTAGGAGAAAATATGCCACGGTTAAAAACGTCCATTTGTTTTCTCTAACATAATCTGCAGCTATTGTTTTAAAATGTTAGCGACTTTTAGTTTAGTTATATTCTATTTCTTTTGATTTAAAAATAAACTAACATTTCCTTAAAACTATTGTTTAGATTGTCTTTAGATTAGGTATGAATAAAAACATCCGAGGAAAGGGAAATCACATTTCATACTCTCAAGTACAGCTGTGCCAACTGTTACAGAAATCAGTTACCTAGTGGCCGTGACGGGCAAGGCATCACACTCTCAACAGCTGTCATAGAAGTAGTATGCGCCTATCCTACTTTCTGAGGAACGCTGACCTGGGAAATCTGCAGATAGGCATGATTGTTGGAATGCATTTAGCTGGACAGCCTTGGTTACGGAAGCAGCGGAAAATTTTGGGTGAGCAAATATTAACCATTACCACAGTGTATACGAAAGATGGTAAATTTGTGGCTTCAAAACACGGAACGAAAGACAAAACTGACTGATAAGGATATATGATGTTGAAGCGCATAATTACCCGAGAATACAAGCAATTGCTTTCTCAAATCACACCTAAAATGAACTCCAGACCGAGGTTCAAATGCGAACATTTATGGGAAAGCGTCAATTCGTAAATTGTTGGTAATTAACTATCTCTTTCAAGTGATGTCAGTGGTGCATAACTCACGGTTCATAATTTGAATAAAATTGAACAAATCATCTTGGTTCGCTGAATTCGCGTTCACCCTATTCCAGACCATCTGGTGCGTATATGTCTGAAGAAAGCCCAGAGAAAAAGCGTTTATTCCTGCCTGCCCCTAGCTGATTGTGAAGCATGGAGAAGGCTTTCTGTTGGTATATAACAAAAATGTATTATAATATGTAATGTATTATAATGCATTAATAAAAATTAAAATTCCACCAAATATCGAGCTATACATCCAAATTCAGATTTTAGAACCCCAGGTTCTAAAATGAAGGCTTGAAGGCAATATATATAAGAATACTGATTAAAATGCAAAATGCTATGAAATCAATTAAAAATTAATACACTTCATAAAATCTCATGACTTAAATCAGCGTCAATTTTCGGCTTTAGAGGAAGGCTTAGAAAGATAACATTTTGGACTTTACTTGGAACACAGATGTTCGCTGATCATCCTGCTCCATGGTTCTTGAAAGTTTCTGGAACTTTAAAGATAAAGTTCGCTTCTTCTGGGAAAGGAAACCAAAGAACAAGACACCAGCTTACGTATCCTTTGTGGTTATGAGATTTTTTTTCATGGTTGAAATTATAAAATATTCGTCAGATCTGAATTTAAAACTGCAGTGAGAAAACATAATTATTACGAATATAAATGATTAGGTACAAACACTTGAATGCAAGTCACTGCTCTGGAACGAACAGTTAAAAAACGCAGAATCGACATGTTTCTCATCTTGTGGTAAGTGAAACCTTCGCCGAGAAGCTTCAGCGTTTGAATGGATATGACGTTAGATCAATCGAAGATTAGTACTTTCTGATTTTTGCCCCTTACAAAATAACATGTTACAGAGTTATAGATTAATATTCAAGATACATTACTGATGCAAATATGACAGATGCAGAACTGATAAAAGGCTGATATAATACTGGTACTGATATTAATACTGATTAATACTGCTACAGGACTGATGCATGATATAACACTGATTTTAGTACTGATTAAACCGGAATGATTTTGCACAAGTCGGTAAATAAATCCACGAAATAATATGTTACAGAGACTCAAAATATTGCGAATTAAAATATCACAAATCAATGTTACATTACTTGTACATTACTGATGAAATACTACTGATACGAGGCTGATATAATACTGATACAATACTTTACTGATGCAAGACTGTTATATTGCTCATGCAATATATGCATGAGCAATATGCATATACAATACTTTATTAATAGTATACTCAACAATACTTTACTGATATTAATATTCTACAAACTTTTACTAGTATAATACTCATAGTAATGATTATAGTATTACTTGTAAATGGAATGATTTTGTACAATCGGTAAATAAACCACGAATAACACGTTACAAGATCAAGCTAATGCGAATTAACACATCACATGAATTATCGACAACATTACTGGTATATTACTGATGCAAATATACTGATACACTCGGATACAGACTGATATAATACTGATACGATAACAATACATATTACTCGTGTACACTGTTTACATTACGGATACAATATGCATTTACAAATTTATTAACTGCACAGTACTATACAATACTTTACTGGTATTGATACTGACACAATACTACTAATTCTGGTACTATACTTATATATATTATTCTGGTACTAAACACTAAAGAATGATCTGACGCACTTTCAAGTAAGATTCTTATGCTGAAAAAAAATGCAATAGAAAGCAGGAGAGAGTTCACGTAGCTGAGCAGTTCGCATGTTGCGGCACCAAAATTGCACTGTTGCAACTAAGCTATGAAAGAAATTCACTGGCCGCGCAAAGGAAGACACCCTAAATTGAAGAAAAGTTTTGGAATTGTAGTGAAAGGAGGAAGAATGGACAACCTGTGACGCGTGAATGCTGATGTAATATTCTTAAATACAGATACAAATTTGCATATATCCAGCGGAGCACGTTTATGGCAGCAGGAGAATTTACGCTGTTGACATAAGCCCAGCCCAGCGCAGCAGTTTGCCCATTCAAGACAACCTTTGTATCAGATATTTCTGCTTTATAATAATTTGCAGAAGCCTGCCTGTTAGTACTTGGCGCTGATATGAAAATCAGATGTCATGAAGTGGTAGGTAAGCTCTGGGGACCAATATCTCGCAGCATCAAACTGTTGCTGAGTCACGTTTTGCAAAATATTGTGGAAATGGAACCATGCCATGATAATCGTAAAATCAGCTGGGGTTGGAAATTATACGGTCAGTGTCCCATCGCTATGTATACTGCTTAACTGCTTTTTTCGTCGACCGGTTGAGCCCTGTCCCCATTCCTTTTGCCATCGTCCAATGGCTTTTCATCTCACATGCATTTCTTTCTTTAGAGAAAAATAGTCCATGAGATATTGACTTGAGTTCTGCATTGTCTGAAGCTGCCTCTTTGGATAGCTGTGTCTGCATTTCATTTCGTTAATGCCCAGCATGGGTTGATTACTCAAGTTTAAGCTGAGGGGGGAAGGCTCTCTTAGATCATGCTGAAATGTTTTGGGTGATGGGAACATGATGGTAGGATTACCCAAACCACCAACGACATGTCTGTCCTTTTTTTATAACTACTTTTTTAATACTATAAGTGATTAGATAGAATAAAACTTGTGCAATAGCAATCGCTTCACCTTGAAGACTGAATTTTGAGAGCGCAGTTGACCTATACAATGATGTGTAACTTTACGATCCCGCTAAACAGCGAAAGCACTCTAGAGCACTCTCGAAAGCACCTTTCTACTCTAGAGATAATGATGGAAATGTTCTACGGCTTTTACTATGACGTGCAACACTTTTCTGGTGACACAGCAATTCCTCTTCGGTTTAGATAGGCACTTGTTCCAGTCGGCCCCGACATGTTCTTGGCCGTTTATTTCTTGGGACAAAACAGCACCGATATTCTTATTGCTCGCATCAGTGTCGAGAATAAATGGACTGTCGAGCTGACGATACATCAAGTTTGGAGCAGATGTTAAATTTTAATTCAGATTTTTAAATGCATCCTCACATTCCTTTGTCCGCAAGAAATTTTGCTTGCTCTCTGTCAGCATGTCAAAGGGTCTTGCGATGAAAGAAAAGTCTTTCACGAATCTCCTACAGGAGGTACAAAGCCCTAGGAAACTTCTCAGCTGATGGACATTTTCGGAGTGTCTTCAGTCTTTAACTGCTGACACTTTTTCCGGATCTATACCCATACCTTCGGCAGAGATGACATGTCTGAACTACGTCATTTCTTGTCTGATAATTTACATTTACAGGACTCAACTTTAGATTGGCTTCTTTCAGTTTCTGAAGCACA